TATTCTGCTAGGAATGCTGGGTTTCTATTAACATAAGTGGTGTAGGAGTGTCTCAGCTTCAGTCTAGACTACTTAATTAGAGGCACAGATAGTATTAATAGAACTGCCACGAAGCAGCACATATTCCTGCAGAGCCCGTTAGGGAAAAGGAATGTAAAAATTTCAAAAGGTTTACAAGATTCACCAGTAAGTTGCTCTGTAAAAATCAATCATTTTCTGATTTTTAAACAAAAGTTAAAAGCTAGGAGAGAATATATTGTTTCAGATTCAAACATTGCTCTGTTATGAATAGGCCAGATTTGCTTAAGCCTCATAAAAAGTCTTCCTTCATAAAGTGATCTGTTTGGTACCATAAATGCCCTTCAGACTGCAAGTAATTAACAACAATAATGAAATTTGTAACAAAATAATGTATTTTTCATATAACACAGTATTCCAAGATAAATTTAATAAAATTATAACTACAGAAAATCAGAGTAACCATTATTAATACTTCATATCTAAAACTCATCGTGCTTGTGATTTAAAATAACAATAGTATTGAAAAGTTAGCAGCTTTCTACTACTCCCATTAATACTGTTAAAGACAATTTATTTTACAGGTGCTTGATTGCAAAACAAAGACATATTATATATACTGTGATTTTTCCAGTAGTGTAAGTTACAGTAGTATAGTTTGTTATCGTACCTAAGTGATAAAATATATCATAGTTTGCCCTATGCCCTTTACATAGTTCGCTAAATGTCTCCTCGTAGTGATGTGAAGTAAGAAATCTTTCTAAGAGCTGCACCTTACTTCAAGTGCAGAGGACTCACTTCTTAATGTAGTTATCAGAACGTGTGTATTTCTAGATGTTTGAAAACAGAAATACAGATCTAGCAGGAACAGGAAGTTTGACTAGAGCTTTTTGCTCTCCATACTTTTAAAGAAATCCAGAAATCCAGCACTGACAGAGTATTAAAGTGGCTACTGTCTTCATTCCCACATCTCAACGTTCATGTCAATTTATGTGAATTCTTTTCACTGGTTTACATATCTGACTTGAAAATATTCAAACATCTGTATTTAGCTTGAGTGTTTTTGTTTTTTGATGTGTTTGTTGTTCTGTTGTTTGTTTTTTTTGTTTTTTGTGTGTGTGGTGGTGGTGGTGTCCATAGCTTGAGGAAAGTGTGATAATGACGATAAAATCAAAGTATACCCTGGCTGCTCAGTAATTAAAAAAGCAAGACTGTAAAGAAAGATATAATTGAAATAAATGACTGTATACTGACAAAATTAATAAGCTAACATTCAGTTTCCAAAAAGCACATTTTGCAAGGCAGTTTTATTTTAAATCATCTAATCCAGAGCATCAAATGTACTGCAAAAAGAACCATTAGCATATATTACAATCACTGCTTAGACATACCAAAGTTGATTTTAATTTATTTTATATAAATATTTTAGGGTACTAATAGGAGTAGAATTCAAGGAACTCGGCAAGAGTTTGGTTGGGGAGGGAGGAGAGGGGTGTTTAAAACCTCAGGCACTTATCTTCCAAGCAAAACTTTTGCATTGTTTTTATTAGCAGTAACCAAATTAGTCTAAAATTAGCTCAGGTATGCAGCAAGTGTCATGCAGGCATACAGCTTATTTCTACAACACTTTTTTTATAATTGTACCCTGTATTTTTTGTTGAAAGTTTTCCAGATTTAGTCATATGCTCTAACAATTACTTTTTGAAACACTTTAATCAGCCTATCAATTGCACTTAGAGCAAGAGTAACTGTTGGTCAGTAATGAACACATGGATAAAATAATGCCTTCACTTGTCAACTCAAATCTAAGCTCCCAATATCCAGGGGCTACATGATGTGACACTGGGGATGTCCAAGCACAAACCAGGGAAGAACCCTTGAGATATTTTATGAGCTCTGATTTCTGGGCTTTCAAAAAGCAGCCGCTGGTTACTCCGTTACTGCACTTCAACATCCAAAAATAGGTCAGTGGATTCCCACCTCAATGAGCTCAGAATTTCTATATTAGCAACTGAAACCCCACTGCCATGAATTTAAAAAGGCAGATCCTCAAATCACTATATCCCCATAAAAACTGCTCAGAGGGCTTAAACCAGGGACAAGTTAGCTTTTGTATATTAAATCCTGACCATGCTTCAATAGGAAATTCTGCTAGCAACTGTTCCACTGATTTCTGAGAGGGGAAAAAAAATCGAGCCCTGAGAAGGCTTAAACCATTGCTCTGAAGTAAACTGCATCTAGATAAGAATAATTCACAAATGTTCAGATAAGCAAATGTCCCTTCTGTGACTTTTCCACTAGCACTGAATTAGATCCCTTTGTAGTAACATTTCAAGAGTTAAATTAAGATCTTGCACCTTTATTTCATTCACAGATTTTCACAAAAACTGTTGGGCAATTAAATGAAATACATGTTATAAAAATAGAAATATAAAGTCTTGGAACATTCATGTTGATGGATGTCCAAAACATACATCCCCTTTCAGATAAGGCTGAATACAAGATAGTGTTTCTAAATGTAGCTACTATAAATTAAATAGGTGCTATTATAAAGTTCCTATTATAAAGTTCCTAAAGAACAGCCTGAATTAAAAAAGTGTCTCTTTCTCAACTTACAGTTCCTGATACAGCCATAAGATTTTGATCAAGCTTTTACAATACACAAAATGCACAAACTAAAAAAGTGCCCTCTTACAGGTAAAGTGGAAATTGCATGAGTTTGGACACATGCGGGCATAGCTGTCATTCAGCGTATTCACCTAAGAACAAAACTGACAGTTATTTTATGCCTGCCCATTTATTTACATAATTATTTCTACACAAGTAGAGTATTTCTCCTCCTTCATAATAACAATACAGTGTTTTAAAACAGGCAGATTGATATATTACAAATACCACTACTGTTAGAACATATAATGTACTAAATCACAGGAGGTAGTTAGATTTCCATTAACAGTTACTTCAGAAAACAAAGACTACTTTTAAGAATTAGTAGAACACCTCATTCATGAAAATTTACTTTTCATAATAACTCAGTCCCAGATGCTTTAAGGGTTGCCTGTCTTTTTAAGCATGGTGAGAATTTATGATAGAAGCATGTTCTCTTTCAGTATTCAACATCGTTTTGCAATAAGCACTTAAGAAAACTCTAAGTGGTAAAGATATAAGACAAATTCCAATAAAGCAACATTTTAAGTTAATCAAATTTCACAAGATGTCATGAGTACGACCATATCTTCAACCTTATATTTCAAACTTCATTCAACTAACTACAATTCAAAAATATATGTACACCAATGAAATTAATGAGAAGCATTTTTACACTGTTATTAACATTAATTGGCATTTTTGAATGGCATTTAAATGAGTAAGCATTTATTCTTTTTGCAACAACTTACTGCAAAATACAGGCACCTTAAAAACAGATACGTAATGCAACCAGGGCATTTGGGACATAAAGTGATTATTATTATCTAGTCATGCTATGTATTTCCCTTCTTCTAAAGAAATACCCTAAATTTGTAAGTTGTGCCTGAATCATATGCAAATTATAATGTTTCAGAATTTAACTCAGCTTTCTTATTAGATTTCTTTTACACTTAAAAAGCCATCAGTATGCCAAGATTTTCAACAGTTACAACTATAAAAATCTTACACAGACATATCTTTATGAATGTATTCTTGCTATTGCACATGTTCATACGATGGTGAAACCCTCATCCATATTCAACTATTTACACATGCTACTTATCTTTATATAGCATTAGAAAAGGAAAAAAAAAAACAGTTACCTTTCTTGATCAATATATACTTCTCCAAAATTTATGCCAGTGAGATTTATGAGCACAACCTGCCATTAAATTTTCTGCCTATGCAGGGTCTGATTCAAAGACCACTGAAACCAAAAGAAGCCTTAATTTAAAATCAGCAGATTTTGGACTAGGCATAAAAATTCAAAAAGGAAAAAAAGTTAGAAAATGCTTATTTTAATAACTGATATAGCTGCACTTTGGATGCATCAAGATACTTTCATAGCATCTGCTCAAATACAGAAAAATAAATCCTTCTAAAAACGCTCTTTTTAAAACTTAAATGTTACTGTTCAAGTTGAGCCCTAGATACAGATATATTTAGGAAGTTTATTCTCTATTAACTTAATTATTAGTTTTCTCCTTTTGGTCATTACACAAAATCCCACACGGACATACAATTACATCTACAATAGAAGAATCACAGAACTGAAGGGGTTGGAAGGGACCTCAAAAGATCATCGGGTCCAACCCCCCTGCCAAAGCAGGTTCCCTAGAGCAGGCTGCTCAGGTAGGCATCCATACAGGCCTTGAATATCTCCAGAGAAGGAGACTGCACAACCTCCCTGGGCAGCCTGTTCCAGTGCTCTGTCACCTTCACTGTGAAGAAGTTCTTTCGCATGTTGGTGTGGAACTGCCTGTGCTCAATCTTGTGGCCAATACTTCTTGTCCTATCCCCGCAAACCACTGAAAAGAGGTTGGCCAAATCCCTCTGTCCCCCACACCTCAGGTATTTATACACATGGATGAGATCCCCTCTCAGTCTTCTCTTCTCCAGGCTTAACAGACCCAGGTCTCTCAGCCTTTCCTCATAAGGAAGATGCTCCAGGCCCCGTATCATCTTTGTGGCCCTTTGCTGGACTCTTTCCAGGAGATCCCTGTCTTTCTTGTACTGGGGAGCCCAGAACTGGACACAGTACTCCAGGTGAGGCCTGACCAGGGCAGAGTAGAGGGGGAGGATCACCTCCCTTGACCTGCTAGCCACACTCCTCTTAATGCAGCCAGCATTAATGTTCCCATTGGCCTTCTTGGCCAACAGGGCACAGTGCTGGCTCATGGTCAACCTGTCATCCACCAGGTCCTTCTCCTCAGAGCTGCTCTCCAGCAGGTCATCCCCCAGCCTGTACTGATGCATGTGGTTGTTCCTTCCCAGGTGCAGGACTCCACACTTGCTCTTCTTAAGAAGTTTATTCTTGTCGTAGGTGGTAAAGTTCTAATACATGTGCATTTCCAAAATATAGTTGTTCCTTCATTATTATTTTAAAAACAAAAATGGTCTTCTCTATTTCTGTGATATATCATAAATACAGTATTTTCCAAGCAACGATTAGGAAATACATGTCCACTGAATTTTCCTTAGCTTTGAGTTTAGACATCATCAAATATTACACTTCGAGACATTGACAGGTATCTTCCACCAGGCTGGTACCTGCAGAATGAATTATAAGTATGAAAAAGTATCACAGGAAAAAGAAGAATAAAGACCCAAGAATATATATAACCCTCACTGCACACTTTGCTTCTTTAGTCTCAATGATTGTTAGAAGACCTGAAGTTCTACTGGACTACTTTTTCCATGAGAATGTTTTATGTAGTCATTAAATTAAATCTCATGTGATCAAAAAAGCATATGGTTTGCAATATGAATATAGAGAGTCTTAAAGAACTTTGCTTCCTGTTGCAAAGGAAAGAAGTTGAATGCTTTTGTTAAATAGTACAAACTTTTTAAAAAACAGCATCAAAAGTTTCTTGTTTGGGTGTTTAACAGAACATATTGCATTCCTAGGAAGCATATAAAGATTAATTAAAACAAACAGCTGCATACTTACCAGGAAAAAGAGGAATCTTCACAAATTATTGGTCATATATATTTCAAAAGGATTTAGAAGGCACAAGTAAAATCTGATACAAGCATGATGTACTTCCTGTCTGCAGTACTTAGCAAAACCCAGACACAAAACCAGAACTTAGCCTCCCTAGTGCTGTTACAATGTCCTAAAACATTTATAACTATTGCAGAAGCTATCATTTAAAAATAAATAAATAAATAAATGTCATACAAACTATCTTTAAGTGAATTGAAATTTTAAATGGAATTACTCTTGATTTATCGACTCTATGAAATGAAGGTTATAGAAGAAGGCTCAATTAAACTCTCTGGCTCCAGGTTTCCTTCTTAAAGCAAAAGATCAGAGTGCTCTGCAAAATCGCGTAACTGCCAGAAGACTTCAGATATATACTTGAAAAGTATTTGCCTCAAAATAATTATAAAAAAGCCTATGTACATTTTTGTAGGTTATTACCCCTTCCACGCACTGTTTAGAAAGTCAACAATGCTTAGAACTGCAAGGCTAGTTTCTCTTTAAACTCTCATACTTGAACAAAGCCAACAATCCCAAGCTTCTGAAATGTTGTGACACTAGATAATACAAGTTAGTCGCTGTTATAATCTAACACTGCTGAATCAATCCACAGAATCTGGTAGGGTACTTTAACAGCATTCTTTACATACTTTTGAACTGGCATTTATTTGCTGCCATTACAGATGTAACTCAACAGAAACCACTTTGGAATTTTTATTGGATTTGATATGCTAATTTAAGCTGAAAAATAACACAAAGTGTAACGCCCTTATAAGAAATTTAAAATGATTTATCATTAAAAGGTTCTAAATCATAATAGGCTAGGTAAAAAAAGCATCCATTACATGTGTTACTTCTTTCCTCAATATGAAGCAGAGCCTAGCAGCTAGTAAGATACCCGTTTCTAAGAACATTTGGTGTTGCAAAGACATTCAGAGAATCACAGAATACTTTATTATACACAGAGCTACACCATACAGTCCAAGAGTTTTTGTTCAATAGGTTCAGATTTTCATTTACTTCACTAGTCTCCAGATCCAATCCCCAGCTGCATTCCTGTAACTACTGGCCTGCAATACTCTGTTTTGTTTCCTGCCTTTCCATCCTTTATGATGTTTGCATATAGGGAAATCAAGTTAAGCTTTCTGAAGTACTGTAAGACTGAGGTCCTGTAGGAAAACCTTATATAGGACATATGTAGGTCTTTCTTCCGGTCTTTCACTTCTGTATTTATAAGCAGTATTTTTCATATTACACCAACATACAAATTTAAATGTTCAACTCAAACATTTCTAATAATAATAAAAATGAAAAAGCCTTCATCTTTTGACTGGTTTTAAAACATTTTTCATATCTTTGTGGAGAAGGAAGAAAAAGAAAAGAGCTAATGAGAGTCAAATATGGTTTAAAAAGCTATTATTACAAAATCATCCAATATAACTGTTACAGATCAGGAGATATGAGCCAATACCTTTTAATTTTTAATTCTAAATAAAACAGAGATTCCTCACCTTCCAGAGTCTGATTCAAGAGGGTCATCATTAATTGAGTCTGCATTAAAATCCAAAGGTTCTGCATCCTGGAGAAGTTCTATTCTATCTCTCTCAGTCCTACCATTTGATCGGGTGTACTTTGACAGTGCTGAATATGTAAAAGAAAGGAAAGACACTTGTTTGGTCTATGTACACCTTAGAGTGTGTGGAAACATCAAACTTAAAAAAACACAACAGAAAACAGTGTAATAATTTGCTAGTATCTCAGATAAAGCATAAGAGTGATTACCTAGAGTAAGTTCAATATTAAGCCAAATCTGGCTATGTTCTCAAATCTGTAGGTAATTTGGATTTTATTTTTAATTTCCAGAGCTATGTGACTACAACTTTTCATCTTCCTCTCAACTAGGATGAGATCTAGTTTTTCATTTTCTTTTCACTCTTTGCAAAAGTTATAAACAAGTATTACTTAGAAGTAAATAACTAAAGCATCCATTTTTCTTCCTACTTTCCACTTTTAATTAAACTAGCTGTGAAAGAGATATGTATAAAATTTACCTGGAGGTTTTTCTCTTCTTTTTCTGTGGATTTATCCATTTCAAAACAAATTAGTGAAATAACCAGTTGTTTTGCAATTCACTGCCTCCTTCACTAGGCCAGTGCCTACAGCTGTTGTTGTGTAGGCACAGTGCCTACAGAATGCTCCACAATCATATGGTTAATATTAAAATATAATTTCAAATAATTTCAGTTTGCCTACCACTGAAAATTTGGGTTTCCAACTGTTGTAATGTGTGGGGGGAAAAAATCTGCCAGCTGTCTCTGAATTATGTTCAAAGCTTCCCCACCTCCCACTTTTTCTTACCTTTTTTTTGTTTTTTTTTTTGAATGTTTTCCCATTTATTGAGTAAACTTTTATCAGCTTTGCTTAATTTAACCTGTCATACTTAGTTGTTCAGTTACATTTCTCACCTGTTGTTAGCTTACAAGAGCACATAAAATATATTTAAAAACATTAATACAAATAATGACACAAGGACAAGTCAACCTTTGGAAAGTTAAAGCAGACAATGAAAGTTTGTTTGTTTTCAAAGCTTTTTGTCTCAACATTATTATTCTTCAAGAAGAAAAATAATACTGCGCATATAAGAATCTAAGCCATCAATATTTTAATACGTGTTATTAAATGAACATGCATGTGTTCATGTATGTTGTTGCCTTTACATTTGTTGGTCATTTATCTGGTTATTCCAGTTTGAATTAATTCATTTGCAACTAGAAAAGGTAAATTTAAAGACTTAAATCTTCCAATTTCAAGACATGTCCTAAATAAAGTATTTTTGTTACAAACTGCAATGCTGACTGCAATCAATGTATGTCTCATAAGAAAACCATGTAACTGAGACCAGCCAGAATCTCCAACTACAGCTGGTCAAAAGACAGGAAGAAACACAGCACTCTTTTCAGGTGTCTTTAACGGACAAGGCAGCACTATGCCACGGAAGGAAATGTATCAGCACATCATCTAAGACAAAAGGAAGCTATTTAGTCTTTCTTATACAGCCAGCAATTGTGCAGACAAGATATTAAAAACCTAAAAACAAACAAACAAAAATGCACACACTCAAAACAACAACAGAAAAAAAACACACAAAACTTACGTCTATTGGTATTGGTCTCTGAGAAACTGGATTCTTTCTGTTCTGTGTGGACAACCCTGTTTCTAGTAGAATCCTCTCTATTTCCATACCGCTCTTTCCATTCCTAGAAAAAGACAAAAAAGAAAAACAGTAGCTGTGAGTAAAGAGCAATGCAACTACAGCATACCTAGCATCGAGAGATATTCCACAATTCAAAGCTAACTGGTCAATTACAACATACTATGAAAGTAATACTTCAAAAAGAGTTACTCTTTGATATCTTTATACAGCAAAAACTCTTGTTTTGTTTTAAACTCAAAGTAAGTCCTTCACAAAACCAGTTTCAATAAATGTTCTTTAGAAGAGAACGTCTCAGAGGAAACAAGCTACATATTAAATCTACAAAGTTCTTCAAATCCTCTAAGTTATGGTGAGAAAACAAACATTCCTGTTTTCTGGTTTCTCCTTCCATCTAGTGGTAGAATTGTAAAATACCCAGACAACAAAAAAAAATCTGAAAGGCTATTTTTACTAAGCTTATTCTTTTTGTTCCATTCCATCATCTAACTTTGTAGCATTTAATCTTTCTAATATGGAAAAGTATGAAGTACTAGAAAAAAAAAATATCACCCACTCTTTCTAGGAGAGAACTTCATGTATCAATAGAAATTTTTCCAATTGTTCCACTAACTCCGATGTATTTCAGATTCATATATGGATCCCTGCTATATTCAAAAGTTGCTGTACTGTTTTACACCATCAAATCTTATAGTTCAAAGCTGTAGATCAAACATTTAATCATAATCCAGTAAGAAGTAATACTCTCAAAAGCCCCAAAAGGTTCAAAAATGGATGTGCTACAGTAGTTAGTACAAACTCAAAAAACAGGTAATATCTCAAATTGGGCTTGTAGTTGAAACTAAAATTGTTGCTTTATACCAGATCATTTCAGCGTATACTAAATACATCATGCATTTACTACTACATCACTTTGTATAGAGGGCAAGTCCTAAAATTATGGGATGTAGGGAGCTGAGGGGACCATCAGAAGAAAGGTCTTTGCAGTACTGGCCGCTATCAAAAATTGAAGGCAAGTTTCCCTGAGCCTGAAGAACCCAGAGGTTTTAGTCCCAGAATTATCTTGCCTTTCTGTAAACAGTATTTCCCCCCTTAGTCATTTCACTTTTCACATGTATCCTCTGGATTCCTCTCTTTGATTGTGACGGTCTCTATGAAATTGCAAATGCTGCAAGTCAATTACTAAAGCTGCAGTTAACTGAAGGTGCTTAAATGAAGCTGCCTGAATTATACTCTGGTTACAACAGACATGAAGAAGGCTGAGGTACTCAACAACTTCTTCGCCTCAGCCTTCACTGGCAGTCAGACTTCCCATGTCTCTCAAGCCCCTGAACGTCTAGGCAAGGGCTTGGAGAGCAAAGTCCCTCCTACTGCAAGTGAAAAGCAGCCTCATTGAAAAGTCAAAGGGGCCTGATGGCATGGATCCCAGGGTCCTGGGAACTGGCTGAAGGAGTTGCCAAACCTCTCTCCACCATAGCTGAAAATTCATGACAGTCAGGTGAAGTCCCTGGTGACTGGAAAAAGGGAAACATCTCTTCCATTTTTAAAAAAGGGTAGACAGGAGGACCTGGAGAACTACAGGCTGCTGAGCCTCACCTCTATGACTGGTAAGATCCTCCTGGAAGTAATGTCAAGGCACATGCAGGACAAGGAGGTGATCCAAGACAGCCAGCATGGCTTCACATAGAGTAAATTATGCCTGATCAATCTGTTTGCTTTTTGTGATGGAGTAACTGCATCAGTCAACAAGAGAGACTGACCAATATCATCTACCTGAACTTCTGTAAGGCCTTTGACATGGTCCCACACGACATCCTGAGCTCCAAATTGGAGAGAGAGATGGATTTGAAGGGTGGACCCTCCAGTGGGTAAGGAATTGATTTGATGGCCACACTCAAGAGAGTGGTGGTCAGTGGCTCTATGTTCAGGTGAAGACCAGTGACAAGTGGTGTCCCTGAGGGGTCTGTCTTGGGACTGGGGCCGTTTAATGTCTTTATCAATGACACAGACAGTGGAATCGAGTGCACACTCAGCAAATTTGCAGATGACACCAAGCTGAGTGGTGCAGTTGATGCATCAGAAGGAAAGGATGCCATACAGAGGGACCTGAACAAGCTTGAGAAGTGGGTCCATGTGAACTTAATGATGTTCAATAAGATTAAGTGTAAGGTGCTGCACCTGGGTTGGGGCAATCCCAGACATGAGCACAGACTGGGAGAAGAACCCCCTGGGAGCAGTCCTGCCGAGAAAGCCTTGGGGGTTGGACAAGAAGCTTGACATAAACCAGTAGTGTATGCCGGCAGCCCAGAAGGACAACAGGGCTGCACGAAAAGAGGTATGGCCAGCAGGTTGAGGGAGATGATTGTTCCCTTCTACTCTGCCCTTGTGAAGCCCCACTTGCATCCAGGTCTGGGGACCCCGGACAAGAATGATGTGGGTCTGTTAGAGCAGGTCCAGAGGAGGACTACAAAGATGACCAGATGGCTGGAGCACCTCTTCTAGGAAGGAAGTCTGGGAGCAGAAGATGTTCAGCCTGAAGAAGAAATCACCTGGGGAGACCTTACTGTAGCCTTTCTGTACTTACATGTAATGCGGGGCTTATAAAAAAGATGGAGAAAAACTATTTACTCAGGCAGATAATGGTAGTAACAAGAGGGAATGGTTTTAAACTGAAAGAAGGGAGATTTAGATTAGATGTTAGGATAAAATTATTTCCTCAAAGGGTGGTAAGGCACTGAACAGATTGCCCAGAGAAGCTGTGCATGCCCCATCCCTGCAGGTGTTCAAGGCCAGGTTGGATGGGGCCCTAGGCAACTGTATCTTCTAGTGGGTAGCATCTGTCCCTGTAGCACAGGGATTGGAACTAGATAATCTTTAAAGATCCCTTCTAACCCAAGCCATTATATGGTTTTACAATCTTTCAACTCAATAAGCATTGGAAAAGATTTGAATCAAGTATTTTGTTTGCTACCCAGTGGCAACAGCACTTATTCTGTCTTAATATAATTCCCTCCTCTGAAAAAAAACTAACCCGTGCCAATTATTACCAACAAGCAAACAAAACAACAGGTAAGTTTAGGAGAGCACACAGTACCCATTTCAAGTGAATATTCCAACACTGCCTTTCCACAGTTATTTCATTATTTCAAGCAGAGCAGTATCAACAGAAGGGTTTGAGAGCAAGCCATTCAAGATTATTTTGAAACCAACAGATTGGGATCCCGCTTAACAGGAACTACATTTGTTACACCAATAGGCATAGGTCTTTCTAACCGCGCACTGAGTAACAAGAGCATCCAAGTAGTATGACCACAATCACCCTCTTATCTTTTAAAATGATCATGTACATTATCTTTTTCCCCCAGTCATGACTATTCTGCAAGATTAAACTGATTCCATCAGTTATTGGAGGATATACATTTTTTTGTCAAATAGTTCAAGACGAATTAAATAGCAATAGCAAATCCTACCAAATATTGTACTACACTATAATTATGATTAGAGAAAACATGCTCATACCCTTCTTCTGTTTTCACCTTCTTCCTGTCTTTGTCGTTTTCTTTTCTCTAAGAATAAAAAAAAAGTCCAGCTATGTAACAGAAAAATAGTTATTCACAGACTTTTCTCAAACAAAGGGAATGAAAACCCAGTGTTAACTACCAGGGTTCTCATTGAACAGATGACTCATACAATTAAATAAAGCCAAAGACAAAGCTGCTTCTCTATCATTATGGAGTTTCCCATTAAAATCAATTCATCATGTTGATATCTTCTGTCAAGACATAACAATTGGATACCAGTTGGCAAAGCAAGAATAAACTTGAAGAAACGACCGGAAAAAGTACAACATTAAGAAGAAACTTGGGTGTTATTAAGTAAAAACCTTTTTGAAGTTCTGGGAAGCCTAAAGCATGACCAATATAGTTTGTGTCATTATCTGCTATTCAGTTGGAAGTGTAACATTACAATGCCAAAGAAATAGTAATCTGTTGTTGAGTGGAGTGACACCCTTCCTGCTAAAAAAACAAAGCCAAAACAAAACAACCTCTAAATTAATCTAGCTGGTTTTGTTTCTAATAAGGTATGAAAGGAGAAGTAAAAGTATTGCATAATATAACATTTTATCTACAGATTTTAGTTTCTGAATCTTTACTTAGGACTACAAACAGCTTTAAACAAGAACTCTTTCAATAAAAAAAAATAAAAAATAACAAAAATAAAAAACAAACAAACAAAAAAAAAAACAAAGAGCTCTCCAAAACAGCTGGTAACTACAGCTCTACAGAATATGCTTACTGTGATAAAACACAATAGTTAACAGAAATGGCAAAAATATCCTAAAGGGAACGATGGAATTTAGACAGGTCAGTGAACACACACACAAAGACTAAAATGATAAAGACAATTTAAGTGGTAACTATGCTTTATGACAGATTAAACAGGATCTCTGCACCTGCTCAGGTATTATTAGATCACTAATGACTTCAAAGGAACACCACCTAACTGAATTGTAAAAATTACAGACACTGTACAAGTAAAGCTGGTATTTTACTTCAAATGTCAATGAAGTCCAACAGTGTTTACACAGGAACCTGTATTGTGAATCTGTTGCATTGTGTGCAGTAAGTAGACTGCCTCAGTACCATTCATAACACTGAAAAGCTATATGTTCTTTTTCTCCCAACATTTCAGACATGGAAACATGTAATATACTTTCTATGAAGAATAGGATAGAGAATCTAACGTACCTCTTCTGATTAGCTCCTTTCCTTCATCAATCAAATCAGAGGTCATTTCACTGTCCCCCATGAATTGCTGAAATCCCAAAAGATTCAAACAACGAGTTCCTAAACTGGTAAAAGCGAAAAAATAAGAAATTCCCTTTGTTAATTCACGGTAGAAATTTCCTTCCTTTCCACAGTAGAAATTTCCTCACAGTAGTTTGGATACCTCAAAATGTAAAACATTATTCAGAAACATTCTGGACAATTCAAAGAAAAAAACACCACTGAATTAAAAAAAAGATTACCTCAGAGATAAGAAAATTCAAAATAGTGACAGGTTCCTAAATGTAGTTGTAAGTAATGGAATATTCCTATGCAAGTAGTGAGATAAAAATGCTTATGGTCTGAGAGTAGTGCAAATGATTTAAGACAATTAAGTGAAAACTTCTCAGATATAATAGAATTCATGCTTACCATATCCAATTCGCTCTCCTCAGCCAGAGGAAAATTACCATCAATGTTACACACATTATGATTTCTGTGATGTTTTTTGTTTGTTTATTTGTTTTTAAACAGCAATAACATGAGATCTGCTTTCACTGCAGTTGTTATTTAGAAGAAATGCCTGGCATTCTTTTCAGCTGTAGGCCATCATTTTGGATGCCCATCAGGTGGCAGTCAGAGTAAGCTTGGTCCATCTTTTGTCTAGTTCCGGAACTGTATCCAGAAACTTTTTCAACTTCTCACCAGAGCATCCATGGTTTTTTTGTTAACTTATGTACAAACTGTAACATCAACATCATGTTCAAAAATCGCTTCATTGTATACTCATTAGAAGATTTTTCCTGTACTATCTCAGCCTTAAAATAGTTAGATTAAATAAAAGAGACAGCCTTACTTGATGTATTTTAATTAAACATTCAGTTCCACATGTATGTGAATTCCTTAGAAACGATTGGAGTTCATGCAAATCAAATTCTTCTACTTTCTTTTATTCTATTACACTGTAACAGCAAAGACCCAGGATCATCATGGACAGGTCACACAAAGCATTTTCTTGTCCTTTCTCATTTCTTTTGGGGATTCTTTCACCCCAACCTAACTTGAAGATAGGCTGGGAAAAGCTAGGACTGGATTCTTGTTGCCTTATTTCATGTGAATGTACATAGGCTACTAAAGAACATTCAAGGCAAACTATATTCCAGATGACTCTTAACACATACATAGCTTCTGACTGAAAAACACTGCAAGACTGAAGGAGTGAACATAAACACAGGCAAGCTGGGTCAGATGAAAAAGTGTTTCATCTCTTACAGTGGTCAGAAGCAGACATTCCGAAGCCAATTTAAGGACCAAGCAAGCATATGACTTTCTGTAATTACCCTTCCAGACTCCTGCAATTTGTGGCTTAGGGAGGCAAGATTTAATGATTTATAACACTGTGTTTTCAAGCTAGTCTGGTAACTGAGAAAAAATTTGTTATTAGTCTGTTAGAAAGTTCATTAGATTAGTAGAAACTCTTATGATTCTTTGTTTATTGGAAAATCTTGCTGAAAACAGGTTCCTCACCATAATTTTAATTTCAAATAGCATAATCTAATTTTTTGTGGGCTCTGAAGGTTGAACAGAATAGACCCCACAATCCGATTAATGAATGTTTAATGGGAAATTAAATTAATTTAAATGTAAAAACAAATGGTTTAAAAAAAGGATATTCTTAAAACGTATACATTTCACATAAAACAACCGATCCCTATTTATTTATCTTTTGCATTTTTATTAATATGTCACAGATCCATTAATATGTTCCAGGTTTACTGCTGGAAAAGAAGTAAATTGCTGAAGAAGTGAAATTGCTTCAATTACTGAAATTGAAGTTACCAATATTAAAAGAAGTGGAGGATCAGTCTTGCAAACTGCTTACCTAAAGTAGGTTGCAATACAGAGAATGACAACCAGCATTGGATAATATATATAGAATCCATCTGCAATGAAGGACAGCACTCTCATTGATCCCATTATCTGGAAAACAAATTCACAAGAGCAAGCTCTAATGATGTATTTGCACATACAAGTAGATGGCACAATCTGTCTGGGTGTTTTCAGTCTATAATACATGGTACGTATTATCACAGATCCGATTCAGACAATTGACTGACAGTGTCCAGAAAAAAAAAAAAAAAGAAAAAACACTTAAAAACGTTTAAGATGCTAGTTCTTTTTATCTCACCTAATCCAGAATCGGTTAAAAAATAGTGGATATTTTCATCTGCTATAGAAGGACTACATTAGGACACTACTTGCAAACAAAGGTAGATGCAACTTGCTGTCGGAAATCAATTGCTCAATAAAATCAAACTCAGTACTTTTCAGTGGCCAGTTAGGTTTGGTATTAATCCATAAAGATGGAAAAATTATGCTAAAGCCAGTGGAACCTACTAAAGCTGTCAGGAAGGAAAAACCAACTTGCGCTCTCCAGCATAATGCTGTACTTTCTTAGGACAGAGACCAAAACAAAAAAAGCGGAGTTTTCAACAACTCCTGTCTAACTAGCAGTCATTACCAAACTCTTGTTATGTTACTGTCTCATATTAGTGAGAAAATAAATGAATAGTTGAATCTCACTACAAAAAATATTACAAAGTATTTTTCCTATTCTCTGAACCATACATAGCCTCAGTACCATATTTTCTGTACTTACCGATGTGTAAGCAGTTGGCTGAGCATCTCTGTGAGAGATTGTTGCATCCATATGGGTCAAGCCCAAGAAGTTCAAGCATAATGGTGGAGTAAGACGGCAAAATAACCTGCACAAGTGTAAGAGACAATAGCATCTAAATCAATCTCTTGCATTAAAAATATTAAGAAATCATAACAAGATGTATGGCCTTCAAGGCCAGGTTGGATGGGGCTTTGGGCAACGTGGTCTAGTGGAAGGCACCCCTGCCCACGGGAATGGGCTTGGAACTAGATGATTTTAAGGTCCCTCTCAATCTAAACTGTTCTGTGATTCTATTATCACAGAATAATGATGAACAGCTCAGGAGGTTTTAGACCCATATGATTATAAATGAAAGAATATAAGTGAGAGTTTAACTGATACTCTGATTAACTGATACAATTGACTACTCAGCAGAAAATCTGCAAACTATGTGCCACATACTCACATGCCACTGAAAAGGAGACTGTATGCATCTGTCTGATGATGTGAAGCTAAATAATAATAGTTAAATACACGGATCCTGAAGACAGTGGAATAAACACAAATACTTAGGAAGAAGATGGTAAGAAAACAGGCCATCTGGAAAGGAAAAAAAAAAGTGAGATTTTAATGTAGAACCATCCTGGTTTCAGATGGGATAAAATTCATTTTCTTCCTAGTAGCTGGTTTGATTCTGTGCTTTGGATTTCAGATGAGAACAGTATCAATAACACACCAGTGTTCTAGTTGTTGCAGAGCAGTGTTTACACTAAGTCAAGGACTTTTCAGGTTCTCATGCAGTACTGCCAGCAAGAAGGCTGGGGGTGCACAAGAAGCTGAGGGGGGATACAACCAGCACAGCTGTCCCAAACTGGCCAAAGGGATATCCCAAACCATATAGCATCATGCTTAGCAATAAAAATGGGGGAGTTGGCTGGGAGAGCTGACACTGCTTGGGGACTGGCTGGAGAACAGCCAGCAGGTGGCAAGCAACCGACATTGTGCATCACTTGCTTCACTTCTTTTTTCTGTTTGTCATGTTTTGTTGTTGTTTGTTTGTTTATAATTAAATGGTTCTAATCTCAACCCGCAAGTTCTTGAACCTTCCATTTCAATTTTCTCCTCCACCCCACTGCAGGCCAGGAATGAGACAACAGCTGTGTGGTGTTCAGCTGCTGTCCAGGTTAAAACCACAAGAACTCTACCAATGTGTTAGCACATAGTCTGAGTATGCAACAGGTTGACTGCAGTGTTATTTTTCATTTTGAGATAGGACAGTAACACCAACTCTGACATGAGTTTCAGGTGTTTTTTTTTCCTAGTTTAAATTTTGAATGAAACTTGAGATGTTCCATGCTTCATATAAGCACAACACAACTGATGTTGGAAACATTTGTTCCACTACTTTTTATTATGTAACTGGCCTTAATACAAGTGATTTATAATTACTATGACTGATTTCGCATTTTCTTCCCATAAACAGTATTAAAAACAGGTATTTTAAGTTCAACCTATTTTATTAGTATATTGAAATATTTCATCTCATCTGATACATTTGTGCACTCATATGCTAGCCACACCTCCCAGAACTGGATTTGTGGTTGGCAGCACATTCCAATTTAGCAGAAGGGCCACACACAGTCAATCAGACGCAAAGTTAAATATTTAAGTTCCAAGCTAATGTTGCATATATTATTCTACACCTGGTATTCATGACAATGGGGTTACTACTTCACCCTGTAATAGACAAATATAACAAGTGGCAAGAGGCAGACCTCCTTCACAAAAACAAAATTTCATATTTTGTGTTTTACAGAGCTTCTAAAAGCTGACATTATTTACAGAGACTTATTTTTAAGTTAGTTTGGTCTACTGTTATTGTAATAACACTCTAGCTCTAAAGGTTTTTATTGAGTGATCAAACTTACCTCTATGTATATATAATTATACGTCTTTTCTGCCAGTTGTATGAAAACTGCAAATAGCGATAAAACTGGATTTGTGCTGAAAAATGTGCACTCTGACCACACGACAATTACAGAGAATGTGGCCAAAACGACTGCAAGAACCCTGTAAAACCATGGTCGTAGAAGACATTCCCAGTACCACTCTGAAAAACAAATACACATGCATCCCTAATGGGTTAACACAACCAGAAAAAGAACTCTCTCAAAACACTGTTATAAACTTCATGCATGCGCACCCTTCAAATCAAGGCTTGAATATGTGACTCCACAAATTCCAATTCAGAACTTTTCTGATGCCTAGGGATTTGGCTCAGCCCTAAGGAATTGTATGCACAGTTGTGGAAAACAAGAGTGGGATTTGGGGGTTAAATTTTGCAAAAAATGATTAAGGGCAGCAAAACAAGACTCTTTACTTCCAGCCCAAATACTATGGGTGACCCACTTTTTATTTGTTTGTACATCCGTTACTCTATCATAAACAAAGCTTAGGCTTAAATTATCCTACCCCACCAATAACTCACTGCTAATACACAACAAATTAGAAGTTAATACATGATGAGAAGACACTTTCTAAGAAGATACACCAAAAACCACATCTCCTAACGTTCAATTCATGACAGATGAAGAGTCCTTTTCCCTTCAATTTACAATGGCTTACACCCCAAAAATATCCTACAAATATAGAAGGTAGTCATGATTTATTAATTTGAAGTTTCTATTTTTCTTTCTTCTAAAGATTCAAAAGTTTTCAATGACTATTGCAACAGGCTACAGCTATTAGCTTGTAAAAAGTTCAAATTTATGGCCAAGTGAAAAAAAATAATACGTGATGGCTATTCAATTAAATAAATGCATCAAAATACACATTTGCTTCCTTCTACTGTAACTGAACATTTTCATATGAAACAATCTGTTCTTCTCACAAAACATTACCAATTAATCCAGTAAATTTAACTGTAAATATAAAACTGTAATTGGTTTACAAATCTGCCTAACAGCACTTACCAACAGTCGGTGTGTAGAAATATTGAACAATTTTATTCTCTGGTTCCTGGGACTGAAACGTATGAACAAATTGTCGAGTTGCACTAGTTTCATTTTTTGCCACATCTTCTAAGTAAAAGGCTTGTTCTAAAAGAATTTGCCACTGGACCTGTGTACGACGATGCCTCTGTACTGAATAAATTACCTATCATAAATTCCAAGAAATTATGGTTACAACATACTCATTTCAAAAAATGAGAGAAAAGCCTTGCAAAAATCTGTTAAAAATTCTACATTACAGAAGTGCAAAGATTAATTCTGTATGCTCAGAAAAGCAGACAGTTAACAATCTTAGTAGAAAAGTCCTAAGAGAACTACACAACTTCAGGGTTTTGCAGTTCTTTTATCACAATTGATCTGTAGCTTTAACAGCCTCCTTTTTCCAAAATACCACTTTATTTTTGAGTCTCTGTGAATGCCACTCTTTCACTAGTTACTTTTTAAGAATTCACTGTCAACCAGTCATTACAAGGCCATCAAATCATCAAATCATCACAGCCAATTAAAATACTTTCAAGTTGTCTAGTGACAACAGTTTTCACATATCTAGAAAACAGATCTGGATCATTTGTGATATTAAACTTTATATTTTCTTTTGCTGACAAAAGTTAAGCAGCATTCACCCAAAAATAAAGAAAGCTATTCAGGTAAAATCTGAAAATTTTAGCTCGATTTGCATTTATTCTCATTACATTAGCATAAATTGGGCACTGTGATTTATTAGTGAGAGAATATGTAATTATATATACATATTATATATTATTACCTGCTTGTGAAGTTTGACCAAACTTTTTTCACTTGGATAACTGTTCTGTCGTTCTTCAAAATCTTCATAATCATCCATGTTCCTACCCATTCGTTCCTGGTACTCAGTAGGACACTGGTAAGAAAAAGAAATTTGACTGAAAGATGCAGGAAAACCAAGTGGCTTCTGTTAATTATTTTTAAGATGTTTTAAGCATTTCATATAACAGAAAAGCTCAGTCTAAATATAGATGCCAGTATCAAAAGGAAAAAAAAATGTCTTCTACAAGTTGAAGAAATGTCCGTATTTTCCTGTTCAAGAAAGATCAGCATGACATTCTTAAATAATTCAAAGGGCCATATCTGTTTATCAAAAACGCACTTCATGTTCTGAATGAATTCAGAATAAGGCACAGAGCAAAAAACAGATTGCATTTTCTACATACCTCAGACTTCAGTAATCAACTGCTACTACTTCTAATATACTATGCATCTCAAAAGACATCAGAAAATTACATTCATCTTAAGAAATCCTTCTATAAAGAATTTCAACTCCAAGTCTGGTCAGAAAGCCACAAGATGCCAATTAGAGACTTTATGTTAAACGGAAAAGAAAACAACATACAAGCAGTAGGTGCAGGATGTGCTCCCACCTCCTTGAACAGTTACTGCAAAAGATGTGCAATTCTTTATTTATTTATTTAACTATTCTTATTGTTACTTGCCTTTTTCAGTATTGTATCAACACACTTTCTCAAGGGGTGATTATACTTGATACTCTCGCTTACTTTACGGACTTCCTGTTGAGGGAAAAAAAAAAAAAAGTTGTTTCAATATGTTAACTAGATACAACTTTACAGGGTCAGATAAGAGCCCCATCCCTGCCAATGGGAACAGTAACTACCAGAGTCTCTAACTAGGAAAGCTTGCCCATGGCAGGGGGTTTGGAATTAGATGGTCTTTAACATACCTTCCAACCCAACCCATTCTATGATTATTAGACATCTTAGAAAAAAGACAACTGAAGGCTTCTTTATAAAGAAGTTGTGTATTTAAAAAATGTACCACATAGTCAGTGTCCAACTATTACTCTGCAATTGTCTAGAGGATTGGTTTCTATGCATGAATGTTAAAACGGAGCATATCTTACTGTTTTAGTTGTACGTAATGGGAAGGAGTCTCCATCTTGCCTTGTTTAGTTTCACTTTGTTACTTCAAGTAGCTAAATGAATATCTTTTTACACTATCTATCTTGCTCACATTTATCTCTACATAGCTGACTTCTAAGACTATTTGACATTCATGAGGAATAAAACAGCTACATTATTTGTTAGAAACAATTCTAGCAGTTTATCAGGCTTAGTGAGAACTAGGTTTTATTTTTCATCCTATCAGCAATGCAGAGACAATCTTTTGATGGTGTTTTTATTGTTACAAACTGTACTTTAAAAAAAAATACAAGTTGTAGAGTCTAGACAACAGAAGTAATTGTGAAAGTTTAGAAATCACATCCAACGCGATAGTTAGGCAGACAGAAGAACTTCATTTGTTTAGTGTGACAAGGAAGGCTAAGCAGATACAGACAGTTCTGTATCTAGTTACAGTGATGTTTAAAAGGCTGTTCTAACAGGTGGATTTCAGTAATTCAGAATTCCCTCTGAATCTATTGAGCTAAAAATTTTCATTATATAGTACGTACAATAGTATGATATGGAAAGCCAAACAAAACCCTGAGAGAATGTCTGTAAAGGTCAATCCTAACATTCAGCACTGTCAAATGCAGCATCAGAATAATAATAATAAAAAAAATAAAACCAAACAATTTTGTCAAGTGTCCTTTAGTACTATGATTACTAGAGTTTTAGTAATGTCTTCCTCTGATAAATCAGAAGCATAAGCTTAAGAGGGTGAGAGCTAAAATTTGGTGATTTATTTGCCACAGCAGCAATGTATAACTTACAATCAAGTTCTCAGAGTCAGCACTGAATTCTTAAGAATTTTTACTTATCATCAAGTATTTCACTGTTCTTATGAAGGTTAGAAAGTAGAGAAAATATACTGGCCAAGAATTGTAAAGGAATAGTGCAATTGTTTATAGATTGAAAGAAAGAGTATAGTACCAGATCTTAATTCTTGAAACAAGATTTTATGCATTATGTTGTTAATGCATATTAATATGTTGGGTAAGACAATCTCAAAACCTGTCATTCTACTAAAGAACAGTCCAGTACAAAACAGCAAGTGCTACTAGCATGGTAAGCAAAGTTTTTGATGCTCTTTTTCTAATAAATTTTGTAATAAGCTTTATCTTTGAAATACCCTTATTGAAGGAGTGAAGATTCTACTATTATTTTCTTTGGTGACAGGTCAAAACAAGTTACCACCCTACCCTACAAATCTTCTGAAATATTACTTCTAAGCCATGGTATTACAGCGGTACAGCAAGCAAGAGCAATTCAATGGGTTGGATTTCCATTCTGGTTTTGACCTACATAAAAGACAATTGCTTATGCACACAAGCAATAATAATAGTGTCTCTTTCAAGAGAAACTCTTTGAAAAACCAGTGATCTATCTATTCTGTTCTCAAAAGGCACACACTGTAGTCTTGCAAATTCAACTTAAAAATTCTCCAAGATTGCAGAAACACACTGGAAGCAGAGCACACAAGCAAGACATACATGTTTTGCTAGTGTTCCTGCAAATTATTTGTATATTAGATTTTCAAGCATCACTCTGGAATGTTATTAGTCACCAATATTACTCCAGAAGGGACAGTAAAAGAAAAAAAAAAACAAAAACAAATTATGACCATCAAGTTGCCATGAGATACAGGTTCTTCTATTTCTCTTTTGATCTTTATCAAAGTGTCATCTAGTTTCATCAAGTGGCACACTATGATGATTTTCTTAATTTACAGATACTTCAAACTTCATGCTACTTGTGCTTCTTGCCAAGAAGTACATAACACCAGAAAATTCAGAGATGAACAACAGCAGCCTTCACTTATTTCACGGCAAAATCTGGTTACTTACCTCCATAACATCCTCTAAATTTTCCTCTGCATCTGCTTTTTCAGTCATCAGTTTGGCAGCTTTGAAATAGGTCTTCATAAGAAGGTAACCCCTCTTAGCCCCATTCCAGTGAGAACGAGGAATTTCCACCAAACCATAGCCCAAAAGCAGCACGAGAAGAAAGAGACCCCATGTGTTTGCAGCAGCTATCCCAATAGTCTGAAGTTGGTTCCTTCAAAACAAATGGCAAACGAAAAACAAATTACAACCTGCTTCCCACCTGCAATGAAGTAACTTTAAAGTATCTGTGCTCCACCAGGACTTTCAAATTTACAGGAACAAACTCAGTTTCATCTGTAATTCTTGTCTAGGCCCAGTCTGCTGCTTTGGTGCATTTAAAGCTGCCATGATTTTTCTTTTAAGTGTACCCTCTCTGGAGGGAGACATAAGCATTTGTTCTCAAAATACATTCCTTTAGGAAAGGAAATGAACTTAGCAAATGTAATTAAAATGAGATCAAAACACCATAATTGGAATCTCTCTAAGAAACAGCCTCAGAACCCAGGATTAGTATTTCAGAAACAGAAGTTGAAAGCAACTAGGCAGTTCAAAACAGCATAACAGAATTTACTACTCTATCTATCATGGAAGAATATCAGCAGTGTTATAACTATCAATTATTTTAAAATTATCTTATGAGCTTTAAGTAGAATCTACAGTAGACACAAGTATTACCCAGGAAACACTGTCAAAGATGTTTTGAAAGCACTAAGAAAAAGTTTCAGCACTAAAGACACAAATGCATTTTCAGTGAGGGAAAAAAATATCACTGCAAATGGAAAAACAATCCCCTGCCTTACCAAAAAAAAAACAAAAAAAACCAGAAAGCTACAAGACAAAATTCCTACAAAGTCAAATTATCTCTTTCCATTCAAAAAAAATAACAAAATTCTGCCTAGCAAAAATCAGATCAACTGTTTGTTTTAAAGACATATTTTATCCTCAGAACATGCTTACACTGGACTTTTTTTCTTTTACATTTTTTATTATATATATATTTTTTAAGAATTCATGCAAGTACTTACAACATTACTCTTACCATTGCAAATTGAACTTTGGGTTTACAGCGACATATATTAAAAATGCTCCAAAAATCAGCAAGTAAGTGCCATAGTAGATTGCATTCTCAATCAATGCAGTTTTAATCTTTCCAGTAATGGAGAACCCTCCTGACCTAGCATAGGACTGCATGAAAGGTAGCAGAATCCTAGGAAGAAAGCAAACAATACCAAAAAGTAGCTTATCGGTGGCAAGATACTGAGACAGAAGTGTTTAAGTTAAAGGCTCTCATGCTTCTAACAAAATGAGCTAACTATGTTTTTATCCTCGGTGTACCAGTCTGAGGGTAAACCTTAAAAAAAAAAAGTTATAGATAAAAGCAAATACGGTTAGCTTTACTATTAAAAAAAAAAAAAAAAAAAAAACTCTTAATCAAGAGCTCACTACCAATCTTCTTGACTGAGCTACAAAAATAATACAAGGATGGGCTGATCACAGACCATACATCAATCTAAACCAAAAGCACAATCTGTTTGCTGTAACTGTATCTATAGCTTTATATAGTATGATCCAAAAAAACCAAATACTTTACAATATTATTCAGAAATTACGCAAATTATTCATAGCATTATTTTGATGTCCTGTAGTCTAGAATACAATCTTTTCCACACAATCTCCCCATGAAAATGTTTGCGTAAACTGCTCAACTTCAATTACAGAAGTGAACTAAGGGTAAATAATTGTGACCTGAAGAGGAGCACCAAAAAAAAAAAAAACACCAAAAAAAAGAAACACCAAAAGAAAAAACCACCAGAAACTCTACACTATGTTCAATTAAATAATTGTTAGATAAATTTCATCTCTAACAAATAATATATATATTATATATATATTATATACATATATGTATATATATATATATTACATATACTGCTCAGATGTTAGACATAATTTATACTTTTATCAGTCCAACTGTTGTTCCTTTGTCTTACTTACCATGTTAAAAACTGTGATGTCCAGTACACAACACGCCAGAAAATTGGCATAATTCCATCAGGAATATAACTCCATGGTTTGAAACATTTTTGCTTGCTGTAAAAACATAAGAAAACTTATTATTAGTTGTAAGGTCAATAGTGTAGATTTTTTTATAGATTTTTTTTAATATTTTTTTTTCCTATAAATTCCCCTACCAAGGATGGACTTTGAAAAAAGCAAAAAAGTAATACACTACTATTTAAGTAGGTAATCATCAACCACTTCAGCAAAGAATAAACTGTATTTCCATGTAAAAAGTATTTAGCATTCTCCCCATTAAAAATAAGGTATCTGGACAGGATGGCTTTTAAAAAAAAACATATAGAGGAGTGACTGTGTTTTTAGGACTAATAAATAAATGTTGTTTAAAAGTCAGCTTGAAGACTAAAGAGAATGGAACAATTTTAATAAGCAATTTACTGGTTCAATTTTTCTTTCTGTGCAGGGAGTACTTAATGCAAAGAAAAAAATCTTTCTGTAGACAGAAGACCATTCAGCTTTAGCTAGTGCAGGAGATTATTCAGGAGTATCTAGGGAGTCCATCACCTAGACATACTACCTATGCCACTTAGAGGTAACAAAGTATATTAGTTGTTCTGTTACCCAGTTGGCTTTAGTCAGACTTTCATGAACTAATATGTTGAGACAATATTTTTCTGACAGGTAGCACTTACTTCAGGAAACCTAAAAAAGTCCTCAGAGCCTTTTAGAAAGAAGAGAGCAAGTGACAAAGTGGCCACCTACACTAAAACTTTTTTTTTTTTTTTTTTTTTACCCCCTCCACCTATCTGGGTAATGAAATATTGGTGAGTCAAGGGGTAATATCACCAATTTAATAGGAGTATCTATTGAGAAATAATTGATGTTTTCCAGAGTCAAACTAGTTAAGCCTGTGTTGTGAGTTTTTATGTGCATAGCCTAAATATTTTCAGAACTATCAAATTACCATCGTATGACAGGCTGTGTGACTAAACATTTCAAAGTTTTAAGAGCTGATTTGCACTAACAGTATCTATGCAATTAGGTTAATATCCCTATTTGATAAGTCATATACTATAGTACAACACCCATCAGCATACTCTGGAATTACAGGTAAATTAAAAGGCTATTAAGTCTTCAAATCATGTATTTACCTATGTTTAATTAACACACACTGAGTAGTCTTAAATGGAAGGTTAAAAGTTGTATCACTCAATCTGGCATTTTACAGTTCTACCACTTACATACGCCTTTCAGGTAGTCTCCACTTTGGTGTAACAAACCTGGTAATACATGACACATAACCAAAACTTTGCATGTTCTAAACATCTTACAGGTCCTACACTGCATGTATCTACATAGCGTAGAAATAGCTAACGGAGATGGAAGAGCCACATGCAAAAGGAGCCGACATTCACCTACATTCCCCACGCTTTAGGGATGATCTCCTTCCTGCCTGAGAAGAGCAAGCAGGCCATTGTTACTTCGGTAGTATACAATCAATTTAGTTAACTGCGAAATTTCTAGCCAGGGAGGTTCAGACTGGACATTAGGAAAATGTTATTTACCTTGAGGGTGGCCAAACACTGAAAGAGGCTTTTTAGGGAGGTGGCTGACGCCCCATGCTTGACAGCGCTCAAGAGGCAATTGGATAATGCCCTCAGTAACATGCTTTATTTCTAGTTAGCCCCAAGGTGGTCTGTAGTTGGACTCAATCTTTGAAGATCATCTGAACTATTCCAGGATACAATATCCAAATGAACTATTCTATTCTAACTCCAATTATTATGTGTGCCATTATAATAATAAGTAGATATGTTGCTTGCATATAAGTCTACTAATCTCCACATTCATGACATGTAAAATTATCTTTCCTTCATAATCTTAAAGGCTTCTGATCTGAAAATATGAGCTTTCACCAAGGCATTTCCTGACAGATGAGCAAAGTTAGAAGGAAGCTCTTTGAACAATCTTATATCACTTTAACAATAGAATAAATGATGATGACAGGAAAAAAAAAAGGGAATTAGAACTATTGTTATTACAAATAAATGCCTATCAACAGATGCGCTTTTCTTCACCTTCTCTTCCCTCACCCCCTTACTATTCTTACTTTCTTCAGACATCACATCACACAAATAACATTTATTTATTAGTCCTAAAAACACAGTACACTCCTATAATTTTAAAAAAGAAAACCATAAAATACTTATTTAAGAACACTCTAACAAAGAAAACATACAACTCATACCTTGGAGCAAGAGTAACATAAGAGCCATTACTTTCCGCCGGGCTGGAGTTAACAGCAAGTTTGCATCGATTATAAATTGTCTAAAAAGACAAAAAAAAAAAAAATTTAATCAGTGATGAGCAAAAAATACATTGTTAATCTAAAAATAACAAGTCCCATTTTTAATGATAATTCCTGTCCTCTGAATTTACATTTGGGAGCAATTTATCTAATGCTGAAAACAACACTTAATCGGCAGGACAATTAAGTAAACAATTGAAAGTGTTTTTGTGCTGTTCAAACAGATTAAAAAAATGCTATAAAAATTCTGAAACATTTCAAAGATTCATTTACTGATGAAATTAAAAAAATTAACAAAATTAACTGTAAACAGAGAAATAGTCATGCAAAAGTGATATGTTTAGTTTAAAAAGATACTATTTGAAAACATTATTTGCTTTTTAAGATATTATCTTCTGTAATTAAGAGTTTAAAAAAAAAATACACATTTTACACAACAGAATGGAAAACCTTATAATTTCTTACCGTACTAACATCCAGAGGCAGTATAAACACAATAAGAAAGCAGAGATACCAAGCCAGTAATGTTGCTATGATCACCAGTCTATGCTGTTTCTTGAAGTCTCCATACCGATGAAGGAGGAATAAGGCCAGAAAAAAGACAAATACTATCTCAAGTCCCAAAGCTGCACCACTCATTATTGAAGGTTCACTCCAGCCACGCAGTGCAGCTCACTGAAAGTGGATCAGAACTGTAACACAAGAAAACATTTCATTACATTAAGATATCTATATGTATGCAGAAAAGAGCTGTTTGTCAGTCATTTTTAAACATACTAATAGACTTCACACAAGATTTCACACAAGGACACTGATCAGATGAACTAGATTTTCAGCAACGTGCTTTGAAGTCCTTTGCAGAAATCAAAGTATGATGACATTCCAATTTGTCATTTCTAGCAACACAGCAGAACAACTCTAATTTGTGGTCCAGAAGATCCAGAAGTCAATTCTTCTGTCTGTTAATAAGACTATAGTCCTAATTTTTAGTATTAGTATGAATTCCAAAAGAAAAATTATTCCTTTGTTTTTGTTCCCTTCTGGATGCTATCAACTGTTTTGGACAAAATAAAGGTTAAAAAGTGAATGTTTCCAGAAAGCTACCAAGCAGCTTTTTTAAGATGAACCGTTTCTCAACCATGCATTTAAAATTTTCTACTCGGAGTTAACAGAGCATAAAAATGCAGTGACATATACATTAGTGTACTTGTGATATGGCTCCTTTTAGATTTGAAATTTCATGTAACAGCTAATTAATTCACCTTCCTACTTCTCTTCTGCTCTTCTTCAGAAGAGCACAGGTCTCAGTTCTTTCATATTATACCTGCTATATTTTTCTTTCCTCTGCATCTATTCACTCTGTTATAGTCAGGACTGCTGTAAATACTTAGCCCATATTCATACAGGCGTATCATTAAGTAAAGGGCCAGTGAGCAGCACAAATCTGTTAAGAGAAAATTTTATCAACTTGTTACATGGTTAAATTGCTTCTGGATTGATTTTTTTTTTACATGTATCATTTTAATCACAGATACTTCATATATTAAAAAATAATAACAATTGTTTATTTCTCTGGTCAGACTCCGGCCTTTCCATCAAGGTTACCATTTTAGCTGGTTTCATTCAACTGAAATACTTTTTTAGCGTGGCTTCCTCACTGTTGTATTTTTAATTGCTTTCACTTTTCACTGAATTTCAAAGATTTAAAAGAATGGATACGACTAAAATTCCCTCAATTTACTTTTCAATTCCTTCAGAACTTGTTAAAATAAACCATTTATTTATTAAGTTCTCAGTATACTGCTTAAGCAGATATGTATGAAAGCACAACTGAAAGTTGTCTTATTTCCAGTAAAGAAAATGGTTATTCTGTGTTTTTTTCCCCTAAGGATTTGTTTCCCTCATTTGCTTCTTTTGCATTTCATTTCCAAACAGTGAAAGTAGTCTTTAAATCCATTAGCTGTTGTCCACTGAGCATCCCACATGCTGAAAACAGACTGAGTTACCTTCTTGTATCTTATAAGAAATGCATACCTGCACCTTTTATCTTTTATTTATCTTTGTATGTTTATTGTATAATTAGTATTTCTAATTATTTAATTATTCTGATAATTTTAATTAGAATCATTCTAGTTATTAATTATTTCTAATGTGAGGTCAAAGCATCCCCTTACTATCTGCCTGTACTACATTTTGGACAGACAATTTGTAAACCGTGAATCCAGGATACCTAACTAATTTCCCCATAACTTATTCTGAGGAAGTCCTTGTGCTCTCTATAGTGTTATTCTTGTTTCCTCAGAAAACAGAATCATCTTTCCCAATTCTAGTATAATAGTGAATTCCACCAAAAACCATTTCTTCTCCATTCATATTGACTTCATTAAGACAGTGCTATCTGACATACATAGCTTTGGGTGCCTATTATAGCCACACCTTGTGCTATGTAAATAAAATTATACAGCATATGCTCCGTGAGTCACAGCTATACAATGTTTTACTAGTCATACCTAAAGAGCTGCAACCAAGACAGAAGGTAAATTTTTTTGTGCAAGATGCTGCTCTCAGTTTCTACCATGATAGGATCCAAAAAAGATTATAAACATGCACCAAATATACTAAAATAAAGAGAGAATTGAGTTGTACCATAATTTCAACCATTTTCAAAGACAAAAGCAACTTCGTTAGTTATCAAACTAAACAACATCTTTTCTGTTCTTCACCTGGCTCCTATTTTAATCTCAAAACACAAAATGAAAGGCATTGTTTTGAAAGGCATACCCCCAGTAAGTTTGCAGATGACACCAAGTTAGGTGTGAGTGTTTATCTGCATGAGAGAAGGAGAGCTCTGAAGAGGGATCTGTGTGGGCTGGACCCATGGGCAGAGGCTAACTGTAAGAGGTTCAACAAGGCTCAGGGCCAGGTCCTGCACCTGGGGCACGACCCCCAATGCAAGGCTGGGGAAAGAGTGGCTGAAAAGTTCCCTTGGAAAGAGACCTGGGGGTATTGGTTGCGAGTTGGCTGAACATGAGCCATCAGCATGCTCAGGTGGCCAACAGCATCCTGGCTTGGATCAGGAATAGCGTGGCCAGTGATTGTCTGGGGAAGTGATTGTCTCCCTGTACTTGGCCCTGGTGATACCGCACCTTGAGTACTGTGTTCAGTTTTGTGTCCCTCATTACAAGAAGGACCTTGAGGTGCTGGAGTGTGTCCAGAGAAGGGCAACGAAACTGGTGAAGTGCCTAGAGAATGAGAATGATTCTTATACGAAGCAGCTGAGAGAGATGGACTTCAATAGCCTGCAGAAGAGGCTCAGGGAAGACCTCATTGTACTTTACAATTACCTTAAAGGAGGCTGTAGTGAGGTGGGGATTTGGCTCTTCTCCCGAGCACCAAGTGGCAAGACGAGGGGAAATGGCCTCAAGTTGCATCAAGGAAGGTTTAGGTTGGATGTTAGGAGAAATTTCTTTATCAAAAAAGTTGTACAGCAGTTGTGTAGAGGAATAGGCTGCTCAGGGAAGTGGCTGAGTCACTGTGCCTGGAGGTCTTCAAGAAACGTGTAGAGGTAGAACTTAATAGCATGGTTTAGGGGTGGACTAGGTTAAAGGTTGGACTAGATGATCTTAGAGGTCTTTTCCAACCTGAATGATTATGATTTTACCAGACTACAACTAATGAAAAATTGTTTTGAAACAATGTATACACATTTTCAAAATTTCAGTTTAAAAATTTTTACAGAAAAAGATTAGAACTAGTTCCTAACGCTAACTGCCTAATGCAAGGTAAGAAACACAATGCTAGAGAGGAGCTCTTATTGCAAACAAAATTCGGCCCAATAGGACAGCCGTATTGCCATTATCATAGCACTAGAATTACTTGTATCAGGACTTAAAATGTATTACTTCAGGGCATGCCTCTCTGTGGCAAGCAGCATTCGCCTCTGAACCTGGTCGTTATCTAAAAGGTAAACTGCTTTCCCATAACCCCATTTCTTTGTTTTGACAGGCTTCTCACTATTAGCACACAACTCCATGTTACCAGCTGGCTGAAATTCCTCATCCTGTAAAGAATTTTCTCCTGAAATCAATGCTCCTGTTTATGCTTAGGATTTTCTTGTTTTGTTTCAGACACAGGCAAAAATAGTACGTTTTTAATCTAATGAATGGAAGAGTTTGGTTACCCCCACACAGGACACAAGTTTCAAAATTCGGACATGAAATTTTGTGCGGTCTAAACCCAGCTAATAACTCTTAGCAAGCACCATCAAGCGTTCGGTTCACACTTAAATTATCTTGGAAACTGCCTACCATCAAGTCTTAAATTACCTTGCCAACCTCAAGACTAACCAAGCTCATGACCATCTACATTACAAATGAACTAACTACTCAGCCTGGTGCAGAAATACTCAGGTTACTACATGAAACAGCAGAAACAAAAACTACAATTTCTTTGAGGTTTTATATAACATTGTACTTAGTAACAGAGATACACTGACATTATATCATTAAAGAAGGCTTGAAAAGAGCAATGCATATTTGTGAAGAAAGGCCATTGGTCTCACTAAAGTGGACTCCCAATTCCTCTTTAATCAGAAATTCCAGATTAGACTACACTATAGGTTTATTATTTTCAAAATTTGTAGGTTATTTTACTAGCAGATTGTTCATTTTGCAGACTAATGTAATTGCTGCTTTTGCCCATCCCAGGGGCAAAAAGCCTGTTTTTGTTGCTTTTCTTGAAATACTATGGGGTAAAGATCATCAAACCGAATTAAAAAAAATACATTTTAAGAAATCTTGGATATTTCAGTTAAAACACCTGAGGAAGAAGCAAGTAGATAGAGATTTCCTTGCCTTATTCTGTATTTTAAACTTTAATGCCAAAATTACATCAGAAAAAAAAAAACTGTCATCAAAGAAGCTACCAAACTATGAAAGAGCTACCAAAGACAGTAATGGACAATACTGACCGAGAGCCACAGCATACCAAAAAAAGCATCCGTGCAACAGCATCTCCTAACTCGAAATGAATTCACAACTTTGGGGCAAGTATAAACCCAAAGCTGCCATCTCCAGCAAATACCAGTGGCCAGTTCCACAGTCACCTCTGGAGCAATAATCTCCAAGTTTCCACTGAATATCTTCCAGCACATTTACCTTTGCAAAAGACACGTATGATCTGCCACATCACCTGTGACATGCTTCTGAAGCCTGCCCTACTCTGCAAAACTATGCTGTTAAGAATCCATAAGTAAGACTTTACAGACATGCTTAAATTTTTTGGACTGACAGAATTGCCCAACACTAAGATTTTGACGTTACCATCTTTAAAAAATAAAATGGGCTAACCTCGTATTTTAGAAATCATAAAAAGGGAAGAACAAGAGGTCAAGCCACATTTAAAAATAATCCCTTCAGACATCTTCACGCTCAAGTTTGCTTAGCATGTTGCTTTTTGGTTTTTTTGTGTTGTTTTCCTCCAACTTCCATATTCTACAGTAACCTTTGCAGCATAGGGAATTTATAAGCAGTCAACAGACAGATGAAGAAAGTACTTCTAAATCTTAGCACAAAGAGAAAACTCTAAAAATTTAGATGAAAATCTAAAGAAATAAACTATCCATGAGCTGCCAAAGAGAACTGACCAGATGTCGTGGTTTAACCTGGCTGGCAGCTAAACACCACACAACCATTCGCTCACCCTCCTCCCTCCCTCTCTGGGACTGGGGAGAGAAACGGGAAAGTGAAGCCTGTAAGTTAAGATAAAGACAGCTTATTAAGACAGGAAAATACTAATAACAACAACAATAATAATAACAATGATGATAATAGTACTACTAATAATAATGTGTACAAACAAGTGATGCACAATGCAATTGCTCACCACCCGCTGACTGATGCCCTGCCTAACCCTGAGCAGCCAGCCCCACTACCCCGGCTAGCCACCCCTATATACTGTTCAGCATGACCCCAGATGGTATGGAATACCCCTTGGGCTAGTTTGGGTCACCTGTCCTGGGTCTGTCCCCTCCCAGCTCCTGCTGCACCCCCAGACAGCCCGTTGGCAGGACAGAGAAAGAAGCTGAGACGTCCTTGGTGTAAGCACTGCTCTGCAACAATTAAAACATCGGGGTGTTATCAGCACTCTTCTCAGCCTAAGCCAAAGCATAGCATTCTACCAGCTACTAGGAATAAAACTAACTCTGTCCTAACTGAAACCAGGACAGCAGAGCAGTTATTTGCTTGCACGATTTGAGAGAAACAACATCTGAGGTGAATCAAGAAAAGATATTTTGCATAGCTTTGTTCTTCTAAGAAACTCTAGTCAGACTATGTACTGACTGGTATTTAATTAGTATTACCATAGTAATAATATACCACTATATATTGAAATGTAAAAAATAAATGAAAATTATTAAACATTTAATTGTTGCTTTTAAACACTGTGGGGGAAAAAAAGTTTTGTAACAGCTAATGACAATAAAACATAATACTGCACTGAGTCCATTCAAAGTGGCAGTATTCTCTGATTTGTTGGGAAACCAGGTGGTATACGAAAAATGCTCTATTAGGGAAGATAAAGATTTTTGTAGTCAATAGCAAGCAAGGACCAGGAACACAAATACAGGGGAAGTTTATTCACTTACTTGGCACTGTCTCACACTAATAAAGAATATTAAGTACCACAAAGGCTGATACTTTCATAGAGTTGAGGGGAACACTCTGGAAAAAAAGATATTGAAGAAGACAATCTGCATGGAGGAACTAAAATTGAAGAAGAAATGGAAGCTGTACAGTTGCAATATGAATACAAAAAAGGAAAGAAAAACAGAAATTGCTACCCGGAGTGCCAGACGACTGCTCTCACACAAAACAGGTGTCCACCAGCAGGAGGTTAGTCACATGATTACAACCCTAATGTTGCCGTAAGACAAACACACTATTTGGAAATCCAGAACTTTAAAAAAATAATAATTGAACTTTACCCCTTTCAGCAAATTCCTCTCTTTTCAATTTCCCGTGAAATTAAAAGGACTGACAAATGGCAGAGATGCTGCTGAACAGAGGATTAAATACAACCAGCTTCTTTTTTTTTTTTTTTTAAACTGAAAAAACCCACTCTCCTTCATTTGATTACCTACTTGAGCAAGCAGTAAATCACCGTTTCGTAGCTTTAGTTAAAAACAGCACCGGTTGCCACTCGTTCTGTGTCAAAGACTACGTGACTGCCCATTTGAGTCGCCCCACTGACGACACCGACCGAGCAGCTGTGCACGATTTGCCACGCGTTTCACTCCCACCCCTGCCTTTGCAGGCACCTCTCCCCGCCACCACCGACTGCACAACGAGTGGCATTGACAAGCGGGCTGCTGACTCAGCGCCCAGAATTTGGGCCTCCGTCCCCCAAAATTTCAGAATATGCTGTTTGTTCATAAATCCTACGGACAGCGTCAGGAATGGCCTTGCTACAGGAAGGGCAGCCTGACGGGAGCGTGCACTCACTGACCTGCAGGGCACGGCCCTGAGACGCTTCGCAAACACTCCGATGCGTGCTCATAACACAGGTGCTCGGGGGCCCTGAAAAAAGGGGAGAAAAGGAGAATAATTGATAAAAATGGAGATGCTGATTGCAGTGCCTGTTCCCTTCCCCTCCCCTCCCTTCCAATGCCTCTTCCCTTCCCCTCCCTTCCCTTCCCTTCCCCTTGCCTCCCTCTTCCCTTTCCTTTCCTCTTTCCTCTTCCCTTCTCCTCTCCCTTCTTTTCCCTTCCCTTCCCCTTCCCCTCCCTTCCCCTCTCCCCATCCCCTCACCGCCTCAGCCGCCGCCCTCCTCACAGGAGACGCCTCAGGGCCGCTGTGGGCAGCGAGCCGGCCGACATTCCCCCCTCACCAACCCCCTGGCCCTGCTGCTGCCGCTGCTGCCGCCGCCGCCGCCACCATCCCTCCTCTTCCTCCTCCTCCTCCTCCTCCTGGTCGCTGTCGTCGTTTCGGCCTTGTCGTCATCGGCCCCCGCCCCGCGGGGAGGGAGGCGGGCGCAAGAGAGGCGCCGCCGGACTACAACTCCCGAGAGGCTTTGCGGCGGGGCGCCGCGCGCGCCTGTGGCGGGAGCAACATTGTCCTGCCGCGGCTCCCGCCGCCGCCGCTGCTGCTCCCGCTGCTGCTGCTGGTGCCGCTCCCGCTCCCGCCGCTCCCGCCGCCGCCATGCACAGGTGCGGGCGGGCGCCGCGTGCTCGCGGGGCGCGGGCGGCGCTGAGGGAGGCGGCGGGAACCGCGCTGAGGCGGACACCCGCGGCGGGCTGGCGGTGCGGCTCCCTTTTTTTTTTGTTCTTTATTTTCTCTTTTTATTTTTTTTATTTTTTTTTTCTCTCCCCTCAGGAAACATCTTCAGGAGATCCCCAGCTCCGGCAGCAACGTCTCGTCCGGCTTCGCCTGGGACTGGGAGTCGGGCAGGACGGCGGAGCTGCTGTCGGGCATGGGGGTGTCGGTGCTGAGGAAGGAGCGGCTGGGCAGCGAGAACACCCCGCAGGAGCTGCTGGTGGCCGCCTGCTCCCCGCACAAGAAGCAGAAGGTGAAGGAGAAGGAGAAGGAGAAGGAGAAGGACTTCGTCATCGTGCGCAGGCCTCGGCTGCTGCGAGAGGCAGAGCCAGGTAATCCGCACGGCTGGCACCGCCGCCTACAAAGCCCGTGCTGCCACCTCTGCTTTGATCCTGAAGCAAGGGGCTCGATATTTTCGCATAAACATCTCAGAAACGAGAGGCTGAGCCCTGGAGAGTGAAGGATGTGGGTTTGTACATCTGCACCCGTGAAGGGAGGCGGAGGGGCAAGCAGCTGTACCTGTCCTGTTGGAGCTGAGCCATGGGCGCTGCTCGGGACCCTGCCAGAGGGCTGCAGGCACGGGGTGTGAGGCTCCTGGGCCTCCCTCTGGTATCAAAATGGGTTTTCATCCTGTCACCACTACCTAATGCAAGCTAGAGAGCTCCCTGCAGACACAAGGCTGCTGTGTGAATGGCGGGAGTGTCCTCAGGTGGCCCCTTTTTGAAGTGAGGGCGAGTGGTGGGTCACAGGAAGCTGTTCGTGAGCTCCACCATCCAGAAAGCTTTCCTAGGTGAACAGCAGCGCCTTCTGGAGCTCTGCATCAGCTCCTTACAAGTCAGAATTGTACCACAGCCTTGCATACAGTTCATGGGGGGTGGTAGTCCGTGTGAGTGTTTCAAAGAGCACTTTGTGCTGCCTGCCCGCTTTGTGTACCGTGCAAATGGACACCTCACCTTGGGCCCCCTTCTGGGAGCCTGGTGTGTGTAGTGAGGGTGGGTGTTTCAGTAGGGGAAATAAAGGAGACGAGTTCAGTTCTTTATTTCTGAGGTGACCTTGTAGACTTGTCGTACCTCTCCTGCAGTTGAGAAAGCGTACAGGCCTTAGAATACAAAGGAAGTGGTCGAGATGCTCTTGTTTCCTAAAGGATCCTTCTTCAATGAAGAGCTGAAAGGGTTATGAGTAGTGATGTATGTACAGCCCAGAGACAGACAGACAGCAGTGCTGCGTCTGACAACCAAGCCAAAGGAGGCATCTGATTAGCAGGCAAAAATAAGCCAGCCTTAATTAGAATGTGTTCACTCTTTCCCTAAAGGTGTTTCTTGGGATGCACTTCCAGATGAACTGCTATTGGCAATCTTTGCATATTTGCCTCTAAACGACCTGCTGAAAGTTTCCATGATTTGCAAGAGATGGCATTGTCTCTCGTAAGTATTACTTATCATCATGCAGTGCTAAGAACTTTGTTTGCTTCCACATATTGATAAATTATTTGGTTTTAATCTTGCTTATTCAGATGTAATTCAATTTATTCTGTATGTGGATTAGAAGTATACGTAATCAAAACCAACTCAAATAGTTTAGTCGTATTAAATTTTATCAAATGACTTTCCCTCCTCTCAGTCTTTCATGGCAGTGAAGACTTTGTATGGTTCTACTCACAGTTCTGACCCTTCCTTGCTAACTAATGAATAAAACTCTGCTCCTTAGGTTTGATGAATTTCTCTGGCAGACCCTTGATCTGACTTGTAGAAATCTGCTGCCAGGAGTAATTGGACAGTTGCTACCTGCAGGTGTTACTGTTTTCCGCTGCCCAAGATCATCTATTGGGAACCCACAGTTTAAAACCATGAAGTAAGGCTTTTCTTTGTGTACCGGATCCTGAAACTGTCTCATATATTCACATTTTCTCTGTGTATACATAGTTAAAACATCTCCACCAGTAGTAGCATTTGTCATGTATCTGAAGAGTGACAGAGTTGATCAGTGGGTGGGAATGGGTTGAAATAAGATTTGCATTCATCAGTCAGTTATTTAAAACCAAGCTAGTCTGATTTTTGAAGGTATATTTCAAGTACAGGCATACACTTGCAAGTTATTTCTTGTCAAACCAAAAATTGTCAGTCTTTTCAGCATTTTTGTGTGTGAGCTCAAAAAAAAACTTTAAATCCAACAGGATAGACTTGCAGTGGTTGCAGTGAATCCTGTAAATACCTCAAAGATAAAATCATAGAATGTCCTACATTGGAAGGGACCCACAAGTTGGAGCATCAAGTCCAAATCCTGGCTCCCTGAAGGACCACCCAAAAATCAAACTGTTGAGAGATTTGTCGAAAGGCTTTTTTAACTCCAGCAGCTGGGTGCTGTGACCACATCCCTGGGGAGCCTGTCCCAGTGCTCGACCACCCTCTGGGTGCAGAACCTTTCCCTAACCCCCAGCCTGACCCTCCCCTGTCCCAGCTCCATGCCGTTCCCTCAGGTCCTGTCTCTGTCCCCAGAGAGCAGAGCTCAGTGCCTGCCCCTCTGCTCCCCTCGTGAGGGAGCTGCAGGCCGCCATGAGGCCTCCCCTCAGCCTGCTCTGCTCTGGGCTGAGCAAACCAAGGGACCTCAGCCACTCCTCATACATCTTGCAGTGTGATAAAGTTTCAGTAGTTCTGGCTGGTAGCTTAGCAGTAGGGCCAGTAAGCTTAGTAATATGAGCAGTCTGTAGCTAAAGTACAGAAGCATAGTAATTTTCTACATGCTTTTAGAATATCGGGTATTTTATGATAAGTGGGATTTGTGGAGCTGGATTTTAATGCAATTTTAGTAACCCGCCTTTCTCCTCTTCCAGACCTCTTCGAGTTCAACACATGGATTTGTCGAACTGCACAGTGTCTGTTCCAGATCTCCACAGTATTCTTTGTCGGTGCGAAAGACTGGAGAATCTCAGCTTGGAGGGACTAGTGCTTTCTGATGACATCCTCAGGTAAGTAATACGTTTGGCAATACTTAGTAAATAACTTCTGTTTGGTGACACTATTTTGTGCAGGCAAGTGAGAGAATGCAGCTAGAGTTGCCCTGTGTGGGAGTCTTTTGAAATGACCAATTGTAGGCACCAGAGTTACCTGATGGGTTAGGTAAGCATCATCTTTCCTGTCTATCCAAGAGATCAGGTCGGGAGGAAACCTCACTCCAAAAGAGTGAGTGAATTTATGGTGTGTTTTTTTTTTTTCTGTTCTGCAGGGTAGGGGGAACCTAGAGAAACTTCTTATCTCTGTAGGTCTTGTGTGTCTTTTCGCTGTTGCTGCAGTGAGGCTGCACAGCAGAGCTACTTTTATTTTCTAGTTTTTGTGCCCACAAGATAGCTTGGTGTTTAGTGTACATATTCGTTCATATTTTAAGGGGTTCCAGCAAGTCTCCTACCAGATTCTTTGTATGCTTTTGCACCATTTCTCACTACTTTGTTGACCCTGACAACGAGTATCTCAAAAACTGCAGACTCTTCAAGGCAGATGAGCTGTTTTTTAGTTAAATGGGAAAGGCACTGCGGGTGTGCAGTCAGCCTCCTGTTCAGTCTCTTCAGGTGATTGCAGAGGTGCCAGGGCCCATCTCAGATGGCTGAGGCTCTGGGTGTCCCGCTTTCTGCTTTTGAGCTTTCTGGTACTTTACTCGCACCCAGAAAAATACCAGAATGCAAATAAACCAGTATTGCTTGGTTTGTGATGCTGGATAAAAAGCATCTGAAAATCATGTACTAATTAGGCACTGATTACCGAAGTTTATTGTCTTGTGTGCAAATACAGGTACAGGGGTGTAAGGTTTTTTCGTGGTGTCACCAACTGCATGTCTGCCATAGTCTTGTAAACAAGTGCATTCATGAGGACTGTTTGGAAACGTGTTGTTTTTGTTTTGTTTGTTTTTGTTTGTTTTCTGGAATAACCTCTATTCTGCAGAGAGGTAACTTCCGAAATGAGTTTATTGTTTCATCTTTTTTAGAGGTGCAATCATCTCAAATAAGCTGTGGTGTTTGTTTAATGAGATACCACAGGAAATGGTGGAAAATAATTGTTTCTTTTTCAACATTGTTTATAAATATATACGTGTCCTTCTCCAAGCTGTGCTGTGATGCAGCAGGTACGGAGTTGAGATCCCTAGTGATTCTTAAATAGGTCAGTTTACAAAAAATGCAGTGCTGTGTGTTTACTAAATAATTATGTGCCTGGAGTCTTCGCTCTTAAACGTTACCACGTATCCTAACAATGTTCCAACGTTTGAGTTTTATCAAGACTTTTTTTTTTTCTTCTACAGAAGCGTTGCTAAGAATACCAATTTGATACGACTAAACCTCTGTGGGTGCTCAGGGTTTTCTGCAGAAGCCCTGGAGTTGATGTTGAGCAGCTGTTCTATGTAAGACAAATATAGCTTTTGGTATTCCTGCTTACTGTTAGTCCTGAGAAAAATTAGCCTTTTTTATCTTCCCATCATCATTCCAACTATACTTATCTCTTACTACCTTTTTTATGAGCCTGTTTATATTCTCAAATGCCTAACAGTTGATGATTTGCTGAATAGATAGATCGTTTCCTTCTATCCAGTTATTTTCTTCTTTAATAGCAAAGATGTACATCAGTAGTTATGTGTGTTTCCTTAATCATTCTTATAGGATGTCTTGTTGGATGTCTTAAAGGAAGTCTTGTTGGTTTTGAAAACCCACTTACATCCATTTGATTATCAAGTAAATTTGATTTTCTCTGTGAAAGCAATACGTCATCCTCACAAAATGTGAAAGTGTGTGTTTTCAGGAAAGCGTAGTCTGAGAGCTGCCTTTGCAATCAGAGTACAGCATAAATGGCAGAAAACGTTGTGCCCTTCTATCCATGGTAGAATAATCCTTCAGTTTATGAAGTTGCAGAGACTAAACCATCTGCTGGCAGGAAGTTGCTGAATTGTGCTCCCGTAGGTCTGGGTTTTACGCCCTGATCTTCACTGACTTCTTGTGAGATGTTGGACAATCTACTTCATTTTTGCTTCTGCAAAACCATGGTTTTAATCAAATTGCAGCAAGATAGTGGACAGACAAAACCTTAATCATTCTCTGCCTCTCATGGGTAGACAATGCTTCTGTTGCTTGGTCTGATTGCATGGATCACGAACTCCTTAGATAAAGGCAGTCTCTGTACAGTGCACAGCAGATGGCAAACCTGATCAGGGCTAGGAACGCTGGGACAACCTAGGATCATTTCTTTTATGACAGTACCGCGTTTGTTGGCTTTGTCACTGTGTGTTCTCCAGTGATATTTTGGGGGAGGGAAGGCTTTTAATTTCTTTTAACATTTTTTTTTCATTACATAACAGTTAACAGGCTCTGGCTGTGCTGTTTGCTGTGCATTTGTCATTGGGTTACATCCACAGCAGCTAAACACAAAACAAATACTTTGTCGCTGAGTGGTGATGGGCTATAGGTAATCAAGCATGTAGTCGAGTTAAGGTCAGAACCTGGCCCATGCTAATATAAAATTATAAAGTATTTTATGCTAATTAAAAGTAATTGGTCACCTGACCAATGCTAATAGTGAATAGCAAAAGGCTTTTTCTCCTCTCAATGTGAACATCTGTTCAGTGGGAATAGATTCAGGTCAGTAACCAAAAGCAAGATGAAAAGAGTGTCTCACTTCCTACAATATTAGAGAATCATTCTGTCTGGAAGTGGGCTTGGGAGATCACTTCAGCTCTTTGCCCAGAGCAGGGTCTAAATTCATCAGTGGCCCTGCTGATGAGGAATTTCTCTAGCTGGGTCTCAAAAACCTCCAAACACAGAATTCAGAGCCTCTTTGGGCAACCTACTCCAGTGTTTAATTATTGCCATGGTGAAATTTGTATTCATTAATATAGTAGCTTTGGTTGTAGGTGTATTACAGTTTGAGTTTTGGTATTTATACATAAGTATATAATGTCTTACAAGTATCCAGGTAATACTTGTAAGACAAAAAAACTTGTATTTCAGTTGTTCCAAACAGCTTTTTATTCATTTTTTGTATAGGTTGGAGGAGCTAAACTTGTCCTGGTGTGACTTTACAGCCACCCATGTCAAAGCAGCAGTCAATCACGTTACTTCAAAAGTAACCCAACTAAATTTAAGTGGATACAGACAGAATCTACAAATATCAGGTAAATAGCAGCATGACAAACCTTTATCCCACTAAGGGATAAAGCAGCAGGCTTTATATCTTCTTCTGATTGGCTTCTATCGTAGGTACTGGAAATATTCACCAAGACTGATTTTTTGCTCTGTGTAGCTTGATGTTCTCATTGTCAGAGACTCTTACTCGTGTCACTGGCTTAACCATGAGGAGCGAGATAATTTGTCTTCTGAATTTAAAAATGGTTAAATGGAAGCTCAATTGAAAGGTGTAGCTTGAAATCTGAAGTCCTATAGGCAGGAGACAGTGGATCTGATGTTCTCCTGTGAATCAGCCTTTCAGATATTGTGGGAGGAAACTTAATTTTTGGAGTCTTCTTAAATTAAGGCTTCTGCTGTTGTGGCTGCTGAAGGCGTCATCCAGAAAAGTACAGATATAATTACTTAAGTTTCACCATGACATAATGTCCTACAAATCAATATCAATTGATTTGGAAGGCAAATAATCTCAACAATCAACATTAACTATTTACTTGCTAATAGCTGCATAAATGGAAATGTGTATGCTTTATAAAGCATGTGTGTCTTATTACTGAAACATGAGCTGACTGTGTGACCTCTTTTCAGATGTTAAAACGTTGGTGGAAAGATGTCCTTCTCTTGTCCATTTAGATCTAAGGTAAGAAGTCCCGTGCAGCTAGTCCTTGTGTCTGTAGGGTTCGGGGGATTGCTAATGGTATTGCTGTGCAGTAACTGTATAGCAATAATGCGTAGTTGAGTAGGGTTGCACATACAAAAATGCTTTCTAGGCTAAACCTACAAAAGATCTACTACCTGCTTAAACTGGAGCAGGTAACTAACTTAAATATTTTGTTCCCTTAGTGTAAAAGTTACATATTTAAAGGATTTGTTAGCTAACAAGTGAAGCAGTCAATAGGTAGAACAGAAGGAAGCATTTAGGCATACAAAGCTCATGAGCTTGGTACCCTAGTGAGTATTTCATTCAGCTCTGACATGGCCAAAGAACCGTTTAATAAAAGTTATATTTTGACCTAGTCAGTTACAATCTTTGAAATCTTGATGTGTAAAGTGCCTTTTCATGGTGTGACTTCTGCTGCAGAACGTGTACCTGCAGAGCAGCTGCTGCTTCACTTGCACTTCAGTGAAGGGCAGAATCCAACACACACTTTAGAAATAAGCTACTTTGTTTTAAGGAAAAAATATCTCAGTGATAGAAAAACAACTTGATATTCATTAAATTTCTCAGCCTGAATTCTAGAGATAGCAAATTTACTGCTGCTTTATACTTAAAGGACAATTTCTAATTCATGTGTTCTCATGTACAGTGACAGTGTGATGTTGAAGCCTGAGTGCTTCCAGTATTTTCATCAACTCGTATTTCTACAACATCTGTGTCTTAGCCGATGCTACCAAATATCACCTGCTGCCTTAGTGTAAGTAATCTCTTAATGGCTTTGGTTTGCTCTTCAGAGAGGATAAATTAATTTAAACTTGCTTTTTTTTCAGCCTAGGAATTGCAAGTATTGTTTGAAAAGCTTGCTGGTAGGATTAATTAAATTCGAAATAAGGAACTGAAAAAAAAAAAAAAAGCACCTGACTACTAGATCATGTACATTTGAGAATACAGACTGGAACCAAAGGTATCTGAGATAATCTTTCCATGGTGTCAGACTGTACTACTGGAACTTGCTGCTCAGCACGTGCATCGTGTCTCCCCTTATACTGCTGGAACTTCTTGTGAGGTTCCAGTCCTGACAATGACCAGTGTTAGTGTCAATATTAGGCTTTATGCAGCTGTGCATAACTTTCCTTTACAAGACTTAACACAGTGCAGAGTACTTGCTGACCAGTGTCAGAATCTGTGTATTCCTTTGCTTTTGCGTGCACCTACCAGTTATTGGTTTCCACTGAAACACAGCTTGGAGTTGTGTCCTTGTGTCTTTTTTTTTTTTTTCTTTTTTCCTGCGTTTTGTTATTATATCTATCCATCTTTATCCTGTTTTGGGTCTTAAAGAATACACCCTCAAGTACAAGACTATCTTTTCACCTAAGAGTCTTGTAGGATGCAGTTTTCTCACTCTTAGACTGGGCAATAATCCACAGCCTCTTATTGCCCAGCTTTTCTTGGTGCACAAGCCTGTGGTTCTTTCCTTTTGGGATTTTGTGACAAACAGGGCACTTCAGAACCAGGCTCAGTCCTTAATAATAATGGATGTGTAGGAACACAGCATTTTACTGCTTTAAAATGGTTTGCACTGCTTCTCCTCACTCCCTTCTCTAACTATCTTGTGAAGAATACCCTGTGCTCGAGCAGAAGAAAGAGGTTGTGAGGGAAACAAGACTCAGAATCTGAAGAACTTTTTCTGTCCTGCTGGTAGCTGTCATAGAATCATAGAATATCTGAGTTAGAAGGGACCCACGAGAATCATAGAGTTCAACTCTAGAGTCCCCAAAAGACAACCCAAACATCAGGCCATATGTCTGAGAGCGTTGTCCAAATGCTTCCTGAACTCCAGCAGCTCGGTGCTGTGCCCACTGCCTTGGGGAGCCTGTCCCTGTGCCTGACCACCCTTTGGGTGCAGAACCTTTCCCTAACCCCCAGCCTGACCCTCCCCTGTCCCAGCTCCATGCCGTTCCCTCGGGTCCTGTCGCTGTCCCCAGAGAGCAGAGCTCAGCGCCTGCTCCTCCGCTCCCCTCGTGAGGGAGCTGCAGGCCGCCATGAGGCCTCCCCTCAGCCTGCTCTGCTCTGGGCTGAACAAACCAAGGGACCTCAGCTTTTCCCATACTCTGGACCCTTCACCATCTCTGCAGCCCTCCTTTGGACACTCTCTAACAGTTTTATGTCATTCTTATACTGTGACACCCAAACCACATGCAATACTGGAGGTGAGGCCACACCAGTGCTTTTAATAATCAATTTCTTACTGCTCTCTTTCTAGAGAACTTGGTGAAATTCCAACATTAAAGACTCTTCAGGTATTTGGAATAGTGACTGATAGCTCCCTACAGCTCCTCAGAGAAACGCTTCCTGACATGAAGATCAATTGTTCACATTTTACAACTATTGCAAGGCCAACTGTTGGCACTAAAAAGAACCATGAGATTTGGGGCATCAAATGCAGGTTGACACTGAGAACCCCTAGTAGCTTATGATCGTGCATGGTGGACGTGATGGACACACTGCGTGTAGTGAAGATCATGAGAAGCAGAGTGATGGAGCACCTCTAATCATAGGACTGTTTTTATAAAATGTTCTAACTTGGTCTTATGCCTTAATGTAGTTTTATAAGTATTTTTATACTTATTACACAAGTAATAAGTGTAAAAGTGGTATAAGTGGTATAAAGGAGCTATTGTGAAGTTTTTTACATGCCACGAAGGTAACTTCTGTTTTTTGCATTGATCTAGGAAAATATGAAAAATAGGAAAATATGAAAAATAAGAAAGTATGGGCTGGAAAGTCCATTCAGAATAATCATCTGTAAAAGTGGCTAACAGTTGGTCCATGTTGTGTTGCCAGGTTTTCCTTAGCGTGTTAGAGAACTTTTGTGTACTTTTCCTTGCTTTTATGAACTTGAAGTAGGAATGTAATATCAAAACTTCTTATGAAAGTTCTGTTCTTTCAAAGAATAATGTCGTTTGGCTGCACTTAGTACAGTCGCAGAAATCTTGCAGGAAGAAGAATCACAGAATCGACTATCCCGTGTTGGAAGGGACCCATGAGGATCATCAAGTCCAACTCCTAGCACTGCACAGGTCTACACAGAAGTTTAGACCATGTGACTAAGTGCACAGTCCCATCACTTCTTAAATTCAGACAGGCTTGGTGCAGTGACGGCTTCCCTGGGGAGTCTGTTCCAGTGTGCAACCACCCTCTCGGTGAAGAAACCCTTCCCAGTGTCCAGCCTAAACTTCCCCTGTCTCAGCTTGACGCCATTCCCATGGGTCCTATCGCTGGTGTTTACAGAGAATAGGTCACCTGCCTCCCCACTCTCCCTCATGAGGAAGTTGTAGACCGCAATGAGGTCCCCCCTCAGCCTCCTCTTCTCCAGGCTGAACAGGCCCAGTGACCTCAGCTGCTCCTCATACATCTTTCCCTCTAGGCCCTTCACCATCTTCGTCACCCCCCTCCGGACGCTCTCCAACAGTTTCATGTCCTTCTTTACTGTGGTGCCCAGCACTGCACGCAGTACTCGAGGTGAGGCCGCACCAGCAGAGTAGAGCGGGATGATCACCTCCTTCAACCGACTAGCGATGCCGTGCTTGATGCACCCCAGGATACGGTTGGCCCTCCTGGCTGCCAGGGCACACTGCTGGCTCATATTCAACTTGCTGTCAACCACAACCCCCCAATCCCTCTGCGGGGCTGCTCTCCAGCGTCTCATTCCCCCAGTCTGTACATATAGCCAGGGCTGCCCCGTCCCAGGTGCAGGCCCCAGCACTTGCTCTTGTTAAACTACATGCAGTTGGTGATCGCCCAGCTCTCCAATCTGTCCAGAAGGACTCAAAGGGTTCTAGCGCTCAGACCAGCAAGAGAACTGCACTGTAGTAATTATGAAAGGAAGAACTTCACTGGGTGCTGTTAAGAGATATCCGTTTCTTTCATATTAGCTTGTTTTCAGTATCATTTAACTTCCAGCATCTTCAACACTATCTGCTGGTCTTACTAATTTTTTGTGACAGGAAAAGCTGACTAACTGGTGAAAAAAATAAATAGGAAAAAGCAATTACTTTACATAAAACTTTGATCTCTATTATCAGTGTCCTCCTGCAAGAGCCTAGAATGTTCTAGGCATAAGGCGAAGCATTATTTGAAGTACTAAAGCAAAAATTTGCACCCTGTGAGCAAAAGTAGGGCATGAATATGCCATTGCTGTTCCCATAAACACAATAAGGAAGTGGTAAAGTTATTCATGGATGTTTGAAGTTAGTAACAAGTTAGTGCTGAAGTAACATCACTGTGGGGCTGTTGCATAGGTATAGTATCTTCCCATCTGAATCCAAAGATAAAAAGTTCAGGTGTGTCTATGTACTAGTGCAGACCAGATTGTGTGGAAGATTGTACTTTTTCGGTTTGCAGTTTAAGATTTGTGTCTTAAACTACTTTAAGAGAAAAATTAAATCTATTGTAATGCTTCTCTCTATATACAATGTAAACCTATACAACTTGTCATGCATTTAATAAGGAGCTAAATTGTGATACTGTACAAAATGACTAATGATTTGCCACCAAATCACGTGGTATGAATAAAAAAGCAGAACATTGGATATTCATTGGATAAAGAAATGTAGTTTAAAGGACGTTGTATCACCACCTACACACATAGAATTTAATAGAGTACAGTGCTTTAAAAACCCTGAACAGAACAAGGACAGTAGTATGGCTTTAACTAGGAGGAATAGTCCAGAACATGTTTTCTGAAGTACTAGCTAGGTTCAGTGGTGGAAGAAGACAAGTGTCTCTACTGCAGGTTTATTGGTTGTGATGGCAGCTGCAGCAGACACAATTCATGTCCTCTGGGTAAGGTGCAGCACTGACCTTTACCTGACTGAAAAAGTTGTTTGTTAACCCCAAGAAATCAATACCAACAATTCCCACATAGATAATCCTCTCTATTTTATCTATTGAAATAAAGCATGAGGACATAGGAACCACTATAAAAAAAAAGAAACAACCCTGCTCTTAGTAAATGAAAGAAAGCTGAGCACATTAAACACTTCAAAAAAAAAATGGGACAGCTTCAAGCATCTATTAAATTTTTAATTTTATTACATAATGTATAAACAAAAGGCAAAGAATGACAGGTTTAGTTTAGCAGAACACAGAATTGTGGACTGGCACTAAATGAAACCACCGTGGATTTGATTCAGTGGGTAGGAGGTGCAGAGTTCAGTGCCAGTCCAGGCAGATTAAGTCAGTGTTACACCAATACTCAGTCCTGTCACAGAACACTGTCTACCAGGTAAGTTGTCTGTACTGCATTCCTTCGTAATAAAGGATTTTACAGTTCTTTAATTAAAAAAGGTAGCTGCTTACTGATTATCTATTATAGATCTCTGACCCTTCCCAGTTATTTAAATCAAGCATTCACCAGTAAATGCTTCAACAGATACACAATTAATTACAGACAAAACCAGTAGAGGCCACTCATGAGTAGGTCAGGTTTCCATTTTGCTAAGTAACGGTTAGGAACTTAACTGTGAAATTTAAGCTCTGAACCAGGTTGTACTTCGGGTCTGCAGGACTTGAACACATTGCCTTTTTAGTATTAGCATTCAGAAAACGGAATGGCAGTTATCTTTATGAGCATAGTAACCAACTCAGGCTAATAAGTCTCCTTTAAAACACTACAGAACAAATGTCTGAATAAGTAGGGGCAGGATCTCTGCTGTAAATTTTTCTGTACAGGTATTCAGGGACTCTCTGAATACCTAAATTCTTAACACCAAATAAATCTCGGACCTAACAGTTATTGGTAAAGTCCAAGGAAGTCATAAATTAACATTACTGGCATTATTTTTTGAGTCTTAACAGCAAATTGACTAGCATACTAGACCAGATACACGTATGCCATCCTCAACTAGCTATAGAGGGATCAGGAATAACTACAACACCTTAGTCTCTGTGCAGCCAACATTATAAAGAATATTTTGCATCTTCACATTTGGGCAAATTTTGCAGACTATTTCAGACATTTTGAGTTTTACTCTGATAGTTCCTGAACTTGACAAGTTTTCAAAGAATATTTGGTTACTTTACTTTTCCCCTTCTGGTCTGCAGTCCTGATAACGCACATAGATATTACAAATAAATCAATCTATGGCACACTTAAACGGTGAAATGTGCACAAAACAGTGATAGCTTATTTTTTAAAAGTTTCAGCAGAATCAGATTTCTCCTAGAACTGAATGGAATGGTCAAACCCATTTCTTCTAAGTTCTGCTTCTGAGTGAATACAAAAAATTAAGTAGCGTAAGGGAAAAATCCTTTATCCACTTTTTACATTCATAGAGTTAAGTTTACTTGTTGTGAGTGGCAATAAATACACTGATTGGCCACATCCCCATTGAACCTGAGAACATCTGTTACAGAAGTCTCTTCATTCAGAAGTAGTTTGAAGAAAACTCACTTTTGGAAATAGTTTTTTCCTAGTAGACAGGAAGAAAAACATCTGTTTCAAGTCATGTACCAGAAGAGGTACTACATCCCCACTGTAGGAATCTTCATTTTGTCAAATTCTGCCCTCATCTACGCGTTAATCAGCACAGACTTCCAAGGGCAAAGTTCACAGTTTCTCTAAAACAGTATCTAAAAAAGTCACTTCCTCTTCTACAATCAGTTGCTTATATAACATACATAATCAGAGGCATATAAAATCAAGTTGCCAATTAAGTATCAGTAAAATTCAGCATAGGATTGGAAAATTAAACTTTCTGGGGAAGTTAATGAGGAACCACATAGGTATTAATTTGTGCTCCAGCTACTAGCACCCAGCACATCTCATTTTTCTGTAGTTACAAAGGAACTCGGAAGCTAAAATTCCAAATCATTTAACTTTAAGCCCTCATCTTTCTTCGTGATACCTACCTACATAACACTGCTGAGACTGAACACCTGCCAGCCAGCTTGTCCATTCAGGGAAGGAGTATGTCTTAACTTCAACACATTTTCTGTGTTTTTTTATATTTATTAAAGGGCTAAAGAAAAGCCTTCAGTTTCAAGTCCCTCTCTACCCAAAAGTTAAGAGCAAAGGTAAGAGCTACCTCACTGAATTTGTGAAAAGAGCTTCTAGGAATTAAACCGGACTTTTACCTTTGATGTAAATCTACAAAGTAGAAAAAAATACTGGAAGAGCCAAAAAATTTGTCATGAGTTGTATGAAACTACAAAGTTGTAAAATTTTTGAAAAGCATACAAAAGGTTTGCATTTCCATTTCTAATGCCAACATCAGGAATTACCAAAATCTATATATCCTTGCATCAAATCACTACATTTTGACAGTCAGCTTTTCTACAAAAGTAGATGTGTGAAGGTGTTTAGTTTTTTAATCTCCCACACTTATTAAAAAAACTGTACATCTGAATATTTAATGCTACCGACAATATTTGAACCCATCCTACCTATATTTAAAAAGATGTTCTCTCATGTTTGTCTTACAGGTTAAAAAATGTCAATTTTCACTGAAGTTAGAGGTAAGACCTCAGATACATTTCTTTTATACCAGATGCAAAAAGAGCTTAAATGTCAGGCTTTTAAGATTTCCCCAACCCAAGGAATGAAAAGCATCCCAAGCTTCCTCCAAATGCTCTTGCATCTAAAAAAAGCCAACTTCCAACTTAATGCAGCATTATGATGTGCTGTCTATCTCCAGGGGTTCTCTCTGGATCCAGAGTTGCTTCAGCAGAAGACACTAGGGTCCTTCATTCTTCCAGCAGAACAGTACACAGTGCGTCCTCCGTATCGATCAATATGGAAGCTATCGCCCCATCATTGAACTCAAACGATGTTCCTCCATCTACAACCATACATGCATCCCAACAACGGGAACGAACGCAGACTCTGCCAAAATAATCACAAAATAGCCTGTAAGCAAGGTGTGTCACACAATAACTTAGCTGAACAAAGAGA